GGAGGACTTGCTGAGTTGTACGGGGGGCCAAGCTTTCGAGGAATCTTACGGAGCAGCCTACTTGTGTGGGCGGTTCAGCGCTAAGAGTCTCTGAGCTTTGAAGCCCGAGAAGTGTATATTGAAGAGCCCCGAACACTGAAAAGCCGACGTCTTCGAGGCACCATCGCCTCTCACCATCGCACATCCCTTCGCCCGAAGCAAAGGCACCTTGCTGAAAGGGGCAGGGGCTTGGGACTTGGGGGGGGTTCAGGGTTGTGTAGCGTTTAGGGCTTAGGGCTTGCCGTGGAGAGGCAGGGTTTAGGGTTTAGGGTGTCAGTAATGGCTAGTCCTCAAGCCCAGTTGCAAAAAGGGGGTGTCAGTAATGCTGGGCCCGGCATAGTTCGGGGATGATCTTGATACTCATTCAGCCTCTCTGTAGTGTATAGGAGTAATCCCTTCCCCATACACTCTCATGGAACTTTCGCGGGGGCGTTGAACATGACGGGGTAGGGGGGGGGGGGTTAATACTCGGGGCGGGGATTAGGTCCGCTGATGATGATGATGATGATGATGATGATGATGATGATGATGATGATGATGATGATGATGCAGTGTTCGAGGCAGGCCTACCCTAAACCCTACAGCCGGAGAACCCTAGCCCTAAACCCTAAACCCAGAACCCATAAACCCTGGCCCCAAACCCCTCCTTGCGTCCGCCGAGTCGACCTCAATTCAGGCCCGAGCCCTATAATTACCCTTTCTGGCTCCTGGGGCGCCTATATATATAAACGGGGCCCTGGCCACTTAGGTTGTAGGGTTTGCGAGAAGTGATCTTTGCTGCCCTCTTTTAGGGTTTAGAGTTGAACCTAGTGAAGCAAAGACGGTTGCCGGGTTTCTCTCCAAGTCACTCCCCTCAACACCAAACCCTCCACGGCCCCTACACACTAAACCCAGAACCCGTAAACCCTAACCCTAAACCCTAAACCCTAAACCCTAAACCCTAAACCCTAAACCCTAAACCCTAAACCCCGAACCCCGAACCCCGAACCCTGAACCCTAAGCCCTTCCTGCGGTTCGGCCAGCTATTCGGGAGCAAAACAACGTGAGCCTAAACCCTAAACCTCTAAACCCCAACCCCCCCCCCCCCCCCCCCCCCCCCGCAAACCCCGAAAAAAACCTAAAAACCCTAGACCCTAAACCCTAAACCCTAACCCCTAAACCCCTAACCCCTAAGAGCCCCTAACCCCCTACCCCCTAAACCCCTAAACCCCTAAACCCCTAAACCCCTAAACCCCTAAACCCCTAAACCCCTAAACCCCTAAACCCCTAAACCCCTAAACCCCTTAACCCCTTAACCCCTTAACCCCTTAACCCCTTAACCCCTTAACCCCTAAACCCCTTAACCCCTTAACCCCTTAACCCCTTAACCCCTAAACCCCTTAACCCCTTAACCCCTGAACCCCTGAACCCCTGAACCCCTTAACCCCTTAACACCTTAACCCCTTAACCCCTTAACCCCTTAACCCCTAAACCCCTTAACCCCTTAACCCCTTAACCCCTTAACCCCTAAACCCCTTAACCCCTTAACCCCTGAACCCCTGAACCCCTTAACCCCTTAACCCCTTAACACCTCAACCCCTTAACCCCTTAACACCTTAACCCCTTAACCCCTAAACCCCTAAACCCCTTAACCCCTAAACCCCTAAACCCCTTAACCCCTTAACCCCTTAACGCCTTAACCCCTTGACGCCTTAACCCCTAAACCCTGAAGCCAAAGAGGCCCGGGCGGCGCAAAAGGCGGTCGCTGCCGCTGCTAGCGAGTCAGAGGAGGCGGGCTCATGAGTAGGTTAGGGTTTAGGGTTTAGGGGTTAGGGGTTAGGGGGTAGGGGTTAGGGTTTAGGGGTGGGTTTAGGGTTTAGGGTTTGGGGTTTGGGGTTTGGGGTTTGGGGGTTAGGGCTTAGGGTGTAGTTCTAACATCTTGGCTTCAGGGCTTTGGGCTGTTCAAGGCCTCGTATGAGAATGTGACTTTAAAGGGAACAGGATATGGAGAACCCGTTTCTTCACTTTTATTCAGCACAAGAGTCATTCGGGATTCTTTCCTACCCTTGAGGGTGTAGGCCTTGTCTTATGATGTGGGCAACTACTGTTACTATTGTCGTTGCTCTTACGTCTTCTATGTCTGCTCTGGCATGTCCCCCGCGATTCGTATCGCTTTCTCATGATATGCTGTCTGCGAATGACTACAGTTGACGGTTCTTTCAACCCTAAACCCTAACCCTAAAACCCTAAACCCTAAACCCTAAACCTTAAACTATGTCTTACTCACATCTTGCGGCCACTTTTGCTTCCTTCAACCCCTGTAGGTGCCACATCTTCCACAGCAAGCCCCGAGCACCCCAAATCCTGAACGCCCAAAACCCTAGCCCTAACCCTAAACCCTAAACTCTAAACCCTAAACCCTAAACCCTAAACCCTAAACCCTAAACCCTAAACCCTAAACCCTAAACCCTTCCTGAACCCGAAGCCCTAATCCACCCTGAATCCCTAAACCCTAAGCCCTCAACCTCTTCAACTCCCGCTCCCCTCCCCCCCCCCCCCCCCCCCCCCCCCCTCCCCCTACTCCTCTCTCCCCCCCCCCCCCCCCCCCAACAAGCCAAAAACCTACACGAACCTAGAGAATCCCAAAGGGCCTAGGGTTTAGGGTTTGGGTTTAGGGTTTAGGGTTTAGGGTTTGGGGTTTGGGGTTTGGGGTTTGGGGTTTGGGGTTTGGGGTTTGGGGTTTGGGGTTTGGGGGTTCAAAGAAGCCCGCCGAACCCCCTACAACCCCTCGACACATGTCACCCGGAGGATCTGGACACTGAGAAAACCCGGAGCCTGATTGAACACGACGCTTCCGGAGCCTGATCCTGGCCCCAAACCCTAACCCCCCCATGTTGAAGAATGTCGTCTCTTCTGGGTTGTATTCTGACAGGGTTTAAGGGTTTAGGACACAGGGCTTATGTCTTTTAGGTCCAGGTTCAAAAGGGTCCTTTCTCCGTTGCACAGCCTCTTCCACGATAGGGACATACAGACTCTAGCCGAATTAAGGGAAAAAATAGGGGCAAGGTGCTGAAGCAGTAGGTCCAGCCAGCTAAAGAAGGCGAGAGAGGGAGAGGGAGGGAGGGAGGGAGGGATGGAGAGAGAGAGAGAGAGACGGAGCGCACACCAGAAAGAGGGATCGCGTAGGATTAGGGAGTCGAGGTTTTGAGCTGCAGCTGTTTAGTCGGAAACTTGTGGCCTCGGACCATTTGCCTTCTTTCAGCATCTGTCTATGGATCCCTAGGCCAGTTGCTCGGCGAATCCTCTCACAAAACTCGAATGAGGAGCCCTCTCCCAAGGGGGGAGGGGGCTTCAGTTTCAAAACGCTAGCATAGCCCTAAAAACAATAACGACAACCCTAGAAACCCTAGTAAAACCCTAAAGCCCTAACAGAAAGCCCAAACAACCCTAAAACCCCCTGAAGACCCTGACAAACCCTTGAAGCCCTAAACCCTAAACCCTAAACCCTAAACCCTAAACCCTAAACCCTAAACCCTATGCCCCGACATGGATGGGGCTCCGGACGCCGGCCTCATGAGCGAGGAGGCCCATCGTCTCATGTTTCACACGTCTTGGGCTCCCTCTCCCAGCCGCCCGGTTTCATGTGGCAGGTTTAGGGTTTAGGGTTTAGCGTTTAGGGTTAAGGGTTTAGGGTTGGTTTGGGGTTTCGGGTTTAGGGTTCCACTCAAAGCGTTTCAGGGCACTTCACAACCCTCAAGCAGAAACCCTAAATACAGGGTTTAGGGTTTACGGTTTTGTGGGGGCGGTCTGGGCAGAAAGGGCAGCAGTCGAGCCCCTTGTGAAAAGGGTTTACGGTTTAGGGTTTAGGGCAACGCACCCTTTTGGTAGGCTGGAGACGGCTGGAGAACGAAGGGGGCCCCTCTTGGACCAGGTCGAAGTCCTGGTAGCTTCCCGCGATTTTGCGAAGAGCGAAGGCTTCCCGAGCACGCCAACCTTTCAAATAGCACTTCCGGAGGACGGCCGTTTAGGGTTTAGGGTTTAGGGGGTTTAGGGTTTAGGGTTTAGGGTTTGGGGTTTAGGGTTTTGGGCACTTCAGGTCTTGCAAGAGATGTCCACAATCTCCGGGAGTGTCTCTTCTGCAGCAAAAGCTGCAAGCATGCACCCGAAAAGTGCGTTTTTCTTTTTTTGCCTGTTGTTGTTCTCTTGTGGGTTTAGGGTTTAGGGTTAGGGTCTAAGGTTTAGGGGGGAATTGCGGGGATTCCTCGAAGCTTTCTTAAGGTGTTGGAGAGAGTTATTGGTGCAGGTCTTCGCGTTTAGACGGGATGAAATTCGGCTAAGGGGTAAGGGGGTAGGGGGTACGGGGGGAATGAGGGAAGGAGGAGAGGGTAGTGTAAGGTCATGACCTGGAGCCAGCCACCAGTTCTAGCTCCGAGCTCTTGGTAGTGCACGATTGACCTCATAGGCTCCACGAAGCCCACTGGGCTTTTGTGGGTTCGGCACGAGATGTTCCCTTATACTTACTAGCGGCCCTTAATCGGGATGATAATAGGGGTACTATAGTCCCTATTAAGGACTAGTAGTAGAAGGTGGAACATTCCAACCCTAAAGCCCTAACCCCTTAAACCCCACACCCCCCTCAAGCCGCTAACCCTAAACCCTGGACCCGGAACCCTAAACCCTAAACCCTAAACCCGAAACCCTAAACCCTAAAGCCTAAAAACCCTAAACAAACCCTAAACCCTCATTTCGAGTCCTTGCCATCCCTTCTTTGGGCTCGTCGAGCTCACGGCAGGTCTGCGACGGACCTTCCTCCACTCTGCCGGTCGCCCCTCCAAACCCGAGCATCAACAAAATCCATTCAAAGCAGGATAAGAGCGTTCAGGGTTTAGGATTTAGGGTTCAGGGTCTACAAGGTCTAGGGCTTGAGGGTTGAGAGTTGAGGGCTTGGGGGTGGGTGTTGCTTCCTTGCCCGCGGTCCAGCAATGCCGCCGCCGCCAGCATTGCCGGGAGGCATGGAGGGGGTGGGTTTCGGGTTTAAGGGTAAGGGGTCAGGGTTTAGGGTTGAGGGGGGGGGGGAAGAAGTCCAAGCCTAGGGTTTGTTTGCGGGTTTAAAGTTTGTTTCTTCAGGGCTTAGGGTAGTTTATAGGTTGGGATGTTCCCCACGTATACTAACAGGCCTGATGTATTACAAATGGGGTAACGATGATCCCTCTTGAGGATTGTTAGCATAAAGGGGAATATCCCAATTTACAGGGGTTGTATATGTCGTATGTGCTTGCATTTTTAAAGCAGGGTTGGCTTGCCATATTCGAAGACGTTCCGATGCGATCTTTGGTGGTCACGGCCCATTGAAAGCATGTGACGTGGTGACACGCGGACGTTCGTTCAGCCAGCGGGAAGCAAACAAATGCTGCTTCCTTCGTCCTTCCAGACAAAGCAACTGGGTTGAAGCTGACTTTAAACGTGTTCACAGCCGGTCGCGCCACTAGATGTTATTGAATCATCAGGTGAAGAAGATAGTGATGAAGACTGGCCTTACATAAGCCAAGAATTAAATTACATATGTTCCAAAATCAAATAAGAACAACAATGAAGATATGCAACCAGCCTTTTCGGAGTCTTTTGTTATGCAACCTGTCAACAAATACAAATCTTAGAACAGGTGGGTACAGCCGCACAGCCTAGACCCCATAGACCCTTACCCCTTATCAATGATGCATTCAAAGATACAACACATTCTGCAGGTTGGTCTCAAGCAAGAATAGAAGCATGTAAGAATCACGAAACAAACGAGTTTAGGGTTCAGGTTTCAGGCTGTTGGGCTTCAGGGTTTGGAGTTTTGGGGTTTGGGGCTGCAGAAAGGGTTTAGGGTTCAGTCACAGATGTCGCCTTCCATCAAAACCCGAATCGCTAGGCCCTTGACCCCCTGAACCCTAAACCCTAAACCCTAAACTCTATGCAGGCAACCGGGAGAGTCCGCCAGAGTCACCCCACCGCGCGCAGGCTGTCCGACCAGGCGGGGTTTTGGGGCTTTGGGGGGGTTTAGGGATTCGGGGTTTAGGGTTAGGGATTCCGAAGCCTAGGGAGTTTAGGTGTCCCCCTGTAGATAGTCAAAACTCGTCTTCAAGGGGCCACTTGAGGAAGGGAGGGTTTGCGGATCCTTTGGCTGCAGTAGGATCCCCCTCGTGATAGCAATGTGTCTCCCCCACTTGCGCTCAAGCTCAGGGCTTGGGGCTGAGAGCTTAAAGGCTCCGGTTCCATGCCTCAAAAAAAAAAGAGGACTTCATCAAGGGCCCCAATCGTCCCCCAAACCTGAAACCCCAAAAAAAATGTGTGCAGGGCGCCAGTCAAACGACTCCACTATCGAAGAGCTGCGGGCGCTGCTTAAAGGCCAGAGGAGGTTCGGGGACTGTTGGGATATGGATATTTCCTATTTTGGGGTTCCTATAGCAAAGATTGTAGTTATAGTATTTGGGGTATATAAGGGGAGACTCCTATGGTTATTTTGGAAATAACCATATTTGGGGCTAAGTTTTTCTGCCATCCGGACCCTCGGCTGAGGGCCAAGCTTAAATCCGAAGTGGATTTCTTAAGCTGCCGGGTTGGAGAACAAATTTTAGCTCCAACACGAAACAGGGCTCAGGGTCTTGCGCAGACGAGGGGGGGGGGGGATGGATGGCATTAGGGTGTGGGTCCCTTGGTGCTGTTGTGGAAAGTAGGAACTAGAGGAAGCTCAGAATTTCGTTGCTTTAGCCCGGAACTTGGGGCTAGGAATCGAGGTTTTCCGCAGGGATTCCTTAAGCTGATGTACCTGACTGTAGCTGACAAGGAGCCGGTTCTCGATTTCCTCACTAAGAACTTGCAAGCACCTGCAATGAATGAGCCTTTCTACTTCCCTCCCAACCACCACCCTCAAATGCAGCAAGCCAGCCTGGGACCTACAGACGACACCTGATCTGAAGGTCTTTCCTGCTGTAAGTAGGAGGACTTCATCAATATGATAATGTGTACCGTGCAGGAGCCCTTTTAGTGCAATATTTCTGAGCCGACTGTTGCCCCCCCGGCCAGATCCGGCTTTGGATGCTCGCAACTTGGCTACATTCGGGACGCAAAGTTGCAGCGGTGGTTAGGTGTGAAGGCCCTAGGCAGAGGTGTACGGGAACTGTTGCAGATGTGCTGAAGAAGAGGCCTGCTGCAAGTAGTAGGTTTGTTTTGCAAGTAGTTAGTGAGAGGGTCACGCAAAAGCAGGATCTGTGCGCTAGGTACCAGCCGGTGCTCCTGGTGTTCATAATTTTTTCTTCGTGGTGGTTAGCTCCGGGTCATCCATGGTTGGCTCGCTCGCTCGCTCCCTCGCTCTCTCTCTCTCTCTCTCTCCCTCCCTCTCTCTCACTTTCTCTCGTGGGCATCCCCGCGATGTGGCTGCGCCCCAGCTGTGCAAAAGCAAACACAAGCCTGTAGAATTGGATCGGCGCAGCGAAGATTAGCACGCCCCCCCCGTGCGCGAGGAGGATGCATGCAAATCGGGAAGGGGACCCCCTTAAGCCCAAGACACAAGAAAACCACGGGCCTGCAGCTGCGCCTCTAAGGCGCGGAGCACTTTGAGACGCTGCACAACCGTGTGAAGCACAACCACGCTGAGGCCGGTGATGTTTAGGGCTCAAAAGTGAGAACCCTAAACCCTGGACTCCAACCTTAAACCTGGTTCGTAACCCAACACCTTGGGATGTGTTACCTTCTCCCTTGTGGGCTTAAGAGGGTCGTCTTGATTTCCATTTCCGATGGCTTATTGGGGGCCTGCACCCCAAAATCCTGAACCTAGGAACCCTAAACCCCAACCCCAAAACCCTGAACCTAGGAACCTCGGGCCCCCTAAATGTCTGATCTTCTGGCTTTGGGTTTGTCACAGGCTTTTTGAGTTTCCAGGTCGAATCGCGACTCTGTGTGTGTGTGTGTGTCCTAAACAACCCTAGATCCAAAACCCTAAGCCCCTAAGCTTTAAACCTCATCAAGGGGGGGGGGGGGGTTCGGGCGCCGCTTGCGCGTTGGGTTGGTGACGGCTGTAGCTCACAGCTCTTAAAATCGGAGCCCTGGGCAATCCCTAAACTCTAAACCCTGAGTGCTGGACACTCCCCCCCTGTCTGAAAGTTGACCCTAAATGCTCCCCTCTTGCTGCATAAGGCCCCTAGACTCTTAAACCCTAAACCCTAAACCCTAAACCCTAAACCCTAAACCCTAAACCCTAAACCCTAAACCCTAAACCCTAAACCCTAAACCCTGTATTCTTGGTGGGGATTCTCGAACCCCTAAGCCCACTCTTCGGTCTGAGGTTAGAACCACGGGCCCTTCGTATGGTTTTCGTACCCTTGTCGATAGGGATCCGAAGTATGGACCCCTATTCTATACAGCGTATTAAAGGCCCTAAATCCTAAACCCTAAACCCTAAACCCTAAACCCTAAACCCTAAACCCTGAACCCTGAACCCTGAACTCTAAACCCTAAGCCCTAAACCCTAAACCCTAAACCCTAAACCCTAAACCCAAGTTAAGGGCCCACACTTGGAACCCTAGACTCGGGGAACGGGGCCAGGGTTTGTTGTCCTAACCTCAGGCCGCGGAGTCTTGGGGCCATGCCGCTGAGCGCGCCCTTCAAAGCCTGGAGCCCTCCCAAAAACCCTTCCTACACCCCATCCCAATCAGGGTTTAGGATTCGGGTTTAGGGTTTAGGGTTTAGGGTTTAGGGTTTAGGGCTTAGGGTTTAGGGTTTAGGGTTTAGGGTTGACATGGGTTTAGGGTTCAGAGGCTCACCCTAGCAACCACCAAGCAGGTCCTGGCAAGGCTGGACAAGCAAGATGCCATGCTGCAGAGGGTCCTCCAGTCTGCCCACACGCACTCCATGCCGGAGGCGCCGGGCTTGGATGTTTTTTGGGTTGTCGGGTCGGTTCAGGGTTATAGCGTTTGCTACGAGGAGTTTAGGGTTTCGGGGTTCACATCGGAGGGCACGTGAATGTCAACCACTCTCGAAGCGCATGGTTGCGGCTGATGTGCCTGATCCGCGCATGCGTGCGCATGTGCGTGTGCGCACACGAAAAGCCCAATCTCTGAGCCCCAGCTCCATGTTCCCTGTACACTCTAAAGCCCTATACCTCTACACTCTAAAACCCTATTCTCGCAGACGCCCCAGCCCATGTGCAAACTGGCACGGGGCCTTTGGGGCATCCTAAATTTCCACAAGAAGGGGTCCTAAAACCCAGATCCTAAAGGATTGGGTGTGTTTCTTGCGTGGATCGCGCGTCCCCCTCAGATCATACAGCAGAAGCCCGGATTTAGAACTCCGATCCCTTGACCTTGGACTGGCCTGAGCGACCGCTCGACCGACTGGTTGATCTAAATGAACCCTAAACCCTAACCCCTGCGGGAGAAAAAAACCCTAACCCTACAACCCTACAACCCTATAACCCTATAACCCTATGACCCTATAGCCCTAGAACCGTATAACCCTGTAACCCTACAACCCTAGAACCCTATATCCCTATAACCCTACCGCCCTAGAACGCTATAACCCTAAACCCTAACCCTAAACCCTAAACCCCCATAAACCCCAACCACTTCCCAGGCCAAGCGCATCAGCGAGCGCATCTCTCGCATCTCTGCAGCTTGAGGGTGCTGGTTTGGGGATTAGGGTTTAGGGTTTAGGGTTTAGGGTTTAGGGCTCCAACCTTTCTTCCTAAACCCTAAACCCCTAAACCTGCAAAGGCACGTCCCATGACCTGGCGGCTGCCTCGCGGCCTCCACCCTTGCAGCACCGAAAGACCCGGGTCCCTTGGGCCAGCTTCATGGGGTTCAACTCACCTTATAAGGATTCTGAGTAGGGTTTAGGGTTTAGGGTTTAGGGTTTAGGGTTTAGGGTTTAGGGTTTAGGGTTTAGGGTTTAGGGTTCAGAGTTTAGGGTTTAGGGGTGTAGGGTTGGTCCTTAAGGGAGGGGGGGTTCGTGGGGGGGTAGGTAGCTAGGGAATCTTAAGGCAGCTTGGGGAGCCTCTTTGAGTAATTCGTAGGGGGTCTGTGGGAACCTTGGGTTACTTATCCCCCCCTGAACTCTCATTAAGCACCCTAAAATTGCGGGATGACTTGCGGTCCGATGGTACTGAGCTCGGCTCATCTGATGAGCCTCTTGGGTTGAAGGTTCGAAGTGCGGAGTTCACGGTTTAGGAGGCAAGTCGGTGGGGTTTGGGGTTGGTCAGGAACCCTAATTAGCCCTAAACCCGAAACCCGAAACCCTAAACCCTAAACCCTAAACCCGAAAGCCTAAACCCTAAACCCTAAACCCTGAACCCCAAGCCGGCTTTGCGGTCTCCAGAAGCCTCGGGGGCAGAGTGCTGGGGACAAGCTTGCAGGTTGCCATAGCCTTTCAGGTCCGAAATACCGGTGTAGGGTTTAGGGTTTAGGGTTTAGGGTTTTTGAGTTTAGGGTTTAGGGTTTAGGGTTTAGGGTCCCTAAACCCCTCAACCCCTAAAGCCTGAACCCGAAGACCCTAAAGGCCTTAAGAAGCCTAAGAAGCCCTAAGACCCAAGCCTAAGAGTGCTGGAGGAACTGACTCTCAATCTGAAGTCACAAGTCCCCTCACCCCACTTGGTTCAAGGCATTCAGGGCATTTAGGGCATTTAGGGTTGCGGGTTTAGGATTTGTGGACTTTAGTACATGATGGAACAGCAGACCCAAGAGTTTGGGTTTGCGGTCTGGGGTCTCGGCTTGCTCAACCCATCCCTTACCCCCCCCCCCCCCCCCCTCCTTCTCACCTCCCAAAAGCCTAGGGTTTAGGGTTTAGGGTTTAGGGTGCGAGAACAGGGTGGATTCACGCCGAAGCTCTTCAGTGCCTTGCCGGCTTCAGGGGCACGATGTTGTGGGCAGAGCAACTCCCTACACCCCAACACCCCCGAAGCTTCCTAAACCCTAAACCCTAAACCCTAAACCCTAAACCCTAAACCCTAAACCCTAAACCCTAAACCCTAAACCCTAAACCCTAAACCTGAAACGATAGGGAGCTGGCGCCCCATGTGAGACCCTGAGAGCTCGCGAAACTAGTGAGCCACGGGATGTTTGAGGGTTGCAAGGCAGTGTGACCCCACGCCCGCAAACTCAAGCCCCAAACCCGAACCCAGAAGCCCCTCACCCTAAACCCAGATTCCCCTTGCCTTAAACCCTAAACTCGGAAGCCCCGAGCCCTCTAAACCCAGAACCCCCGAACCCTACTGTAAACCTAAATCCCGAAGCCCCTAGAGCCCCAAACATGGCAAGCCCAACCCAACCCGAAGCCCAAGGACTCGGGGATTTGTTTGGAAGTATTCGCGATTTCTGCTGTGGGTCCGAACTTAGGATTTAGGGTGGTGAGAAGTGTCCATCTTATGGTGTGCTGGCGCCGACCACAGTCCACGCTTCACAAAGGCTGTTAGGATTTAGGACTGTAGATGCAAAAAAGGTTTAGGGTTATGATGACTTTCCCGGCCGACGCAATCAAGTCCGGATGCACACAGGGTTATGATATCCCTGCGTCCCAATATGGTTGTTTGCGAAAATCGGGGGCCCCTAATACAGTCCCCAAATAGTAGGATTACCTTATCATGAGGACCCCGAGAAGGTCCCCCCCCCCCCCCCCCCCCCCCAATTTCGGAAACCTCCTCAGAGGCCCATTTTGACGCATGGAAGCGTGCGATGTCAAGTTCAGGATTCAGGGCTTCATTCTCAGGGTCCTCCCCCCAAAAGCACCCCCACTCAACCACAAAGAAACCACCCTAAGCTCTGAACCCCCAAAGCCCAAACCCCAAACCCTTGACCCCAAACCCTAAACCCCAAACCATAGATCCCAAACCCTAAGCCCTAAACCCCAGGCCCCAAACCGTAAACCAAAACCCTAAACCCCAAACCACAACCCTAAGCCTGAACCCCTAGACCCCTAAACCCTAAACCCCACAGCCCCACAGCACAAATCCAGGCACCTTCACGCAGTTCGACTTGTCGCTGAAGGAAGGCGCAGCCAATGTGGATGCCGACGAGGCCATAAAGCACAAGATCCGCATGCCGCTCGGCCTTCTTAGGGTTTTGTAAGGGTTCGGGGGCAAAAAGGGGTGTAGGGTGTAGGGCCCTAAACCCTAACCCCTAAACCCTAAACCCTAAACCCCTTTTTGCCCCCGAGCCCCTTGAACCCTAAACCCACGCGTGTAGGGTAGGGCTCGCGGGGTTGAACCCTGTGAGCCCTCAACCCTAAACCTGCGGTTCAGGGAAATCCCGCCCCCCCCCCCCCCCCCCCGGCCCCCAAGAAAACAAAGAAAAGTCGGAAGAAACTTGCTGCGACCTCCTAAGCCCTTGGGTTTAGGGTTTTTCGGTTTTAAGGCTTAGGGTTGAGGGTTTGGAGCCTTGGGTTCCTTATAGACGAGTCCACAGGCCACTTCGACAACCCTAAACCCTAAACCCTAAACCCTAAACCCTAAACCCGAAACCCTAAACCCTACACCCTAAACCCTAAACCCTAAAGCCTAAAGCCTAAAGCCTAAACCCTAAACCCTAAACCCTAAACCCTAAACCCTAAGCCCTAAGCCCTAAGCCCTAAGCCCTAACCGAGACGGAAGGTCCATCATGGAGTCGCATGACTCTGAGGCCTGGAAGCCTAGGGCTTGGAGAAGCTGACTGAAGCTGCCTACTTCGGGGGGTTAGGGCCTGGGCTTAGGGCTTAGGGCCTCACACGCTTCGGCCAAGGACAGGTTCGAAAAGGGTTTCGGGTTCGGGGTTTAGGGTTTAGGGTTCAGGGTTTAGGAAGCCTTGACAAAACGTCAAGATTCCCAGCTCATGAGCAGGGCCAGGGGCATTCTTGAATCTCAAGCCCTGTCTAAAGGGTCTAGGGTAGTAAGTCCATGCATCTGTTGCAAAGAAACGGTTCGCCGAGATGACGCCTTGAGCAGAAATACGGGGAAGAATATTTTCCTACCGAATTAGGGGGCACCAGGAGCATTTTCCCTCAGATTCAGCTTTTTTTGGTCTCTTGAGCTGCGATGGAGGGCATGACGAAGAACTCAAGACCTCCTGAACATGGAACCCTACACCCTAAACCCTTAACCCTAAACCCTAAACCCTCAAGCCCCCTGTAACTTGAAATTATTCAAAAAATCCAAAAAGCGAAACTCCTCGAAACTTTCCTCGAAACTTTCCCCGGACCTGAATCCTGAATAGTTTCAATAAACCCTAAACCCAAAACCATAAACCCTAAACCCTAAACCCTAAACCCCTAGCCAGCGCCCTGTAGGCTTCATTAAAACTTGCCAGGAGGGCCGCAGCTGCGTCCGCCACGTCGTTGGCCATCCGGGGTTCGACCTCTTTTTCGCGCCCTGTTTGAGGGTTTGGGGTTGGGGTTGGGGTTTAGGGGTTAGGGTTTAGGGTTAGGGTTTAGGGTTTAGGGTTTAGGGGTTAGGGGTTTAGGGTTTAGGGTTTAAGGAACGGTTTTTGCTTGAAGGTCTGTCAGTAATCGGTTGTGCCGTAAGAACCTACAGTAGTACTGCGTCGTAGGCTATTCTCATGGAACCCTGAACCCTAAACCCCAAACCCTAAACCCTCAACCCTCAACCCTAAACCCTAAACCCTAAACCCGAGCAAGGCCACCGTCGTCCTCACCAACTCCGTCTTCATCGGCATCGAAGTGCAGGATCAGAGCAGCAGCGCGGAACTCCTCCTCTAGAAAACCCGACCACATCCCACAGCAAGCGCTCCAAAACCCTAAACCCTAAACCCTAAACCCTAAACCCTAAACCCTAAACCCTAAACCCTAAACTGGCCCTAAACCCCAAACCCCAAACCCTAAACCCTAAATCCTAAACCCTAGCTTTCGAGTTCCTTCCTGGAGATCCCTAAGAGTCAACGTCAACCTCTGGAAGCGCTCCAGGAGAATCTCAGCAATGACGGCGAGAACTCCATTCTCATCCAGGCTGCCTTGGTTGGGGGTTTAGGGTTTAGGGGTTTACGGGTTTAGGGTTTAGGGTTTAGGGGTTTAGGGTTAGGGTTTTGGGGCTTTGGGGGTTTTAGGGGTTTAGGGGTTTAGGGTAAGTGTTTTGGGGCTTTGGGGGTTTTAGGGGTTTAGGGTTTTGGGGTTTCTTCGGCTTGCCTCTTGTACTGTTTTCATACTTCTCTCCTTATCGTATCTGGTGGTATGTTCTTGGTTGAGGGATGACTTCTTCGACTTGTCGTTGTTGCATAGTTCTCCTTATCGTGTATGGTAGTATTTGGGGAATATCTCAAGTTCAGGGGGTTTTACATCGAGATGAACCCCTCAAACCGTGGGACCTTGCAGGCTTACAGATTGGCCAAATACTTGCCTTTCCCGGGAGGGTCTTAAACATTCGTGCGAAGGAGGACTCCGAACCCCTGTCTGTAACGAAGCACTCGATTCCACCGGCCAGGCATGCATCCTTAACAAGAACACCTGAGTCGGCTTAAACCCTAAACCCTGAACCCTGAACCCTAAACCCGAAACCCGAAACCCGAAACCCTTCGCCTTCGCGCACCATGAACTCTGCAGCCCCCCTGCACTTTGAATGGAGCTGGGCGTCTGCCTCTTGCAGCCAGGGTTTTGGGATGGCTGCAATTTGCTTACAAACCCCAAAATTGAAAGATAAACACCCCTATATTGCCTTTATAAAGCAGAATGTTTAAAACACTCTTTGAGAGGGAGGTTCTTAAGCAAGTGTTCGTAGTAGTTTGAGGGCGGGCGATAAAGGAGCTTTGAACCAAGGTTCTCGGAAACGTCTACACTGCTAACACAATGCATAGATACCAGACATAGTACAAGAGAAACCAACAGCCCAATTAATCTAATAGTTTGAGGGCTGAACCAGGGTTCTTTGCCCTGAACCCTAAACTCTAAACCCTAAAGCTTAAACCCCAAACCCTGAACCCTAAACCCTGAACCCTAAACCCGAAACCCGAAACCCTAAACCCTTTGAACCAAGGTTCTCCGAAACGTCTACACCTTTCTCTTCTCCGTGGAATTGGTCCTTCGCATAGCGGCATACCAGCGGGAGTTCTTCTGCGGAGGCGAGTGGAAGTGGACACCTGGTGAGAGGTTGGCCGTGTACGTTTAGGGTTTAGGGTTTAGGGATTAGGGCTTAGGGTTTGGGGTTTAGGGTTCAAGGTTCAGCAGTTTTGTGCAAACACTTTCCTGTCACCTCGGCCTCAGTACGGGGTCAAATAAGGTTCAGGAGTACAGGGCTCAGGCTTCCATTAGGCTTGTTCAAGGTTCAGGACTTTCGGCTTTAAGAGTACATAGGGATTGGCTTTGGGGGGTGGGGGGGGTGGGGGGACAGCTTCGCTTGGGTGCCCAGCTGGCGCGGCTGCAGCGTGCTGTGCAGTGCACTCACCTTCTTGCCGTGCCCTCGGACCTCACACCTAAACCCTAATTAAACCCTAAACTCTACAATCGCAGAAGGCAGAAGGGGGAGGCTGGTGTTTCGGCTTAATGCCCTGAAGACCTTGATGCCTAAGCCAGGAAGTCCCCCCAAAGCCCAGAAGGAGCCCTAAACTAAACGCAAAAACGAACCCCCAAAACCCTGTAACGAAACCTCCTGAACCCGAAACCATAAACTCGCAAAACCCTAAAACCTCAAAGGCCGAAAGAAGCCCCTTGGCCCGAAAAAGATCCCCAGTGACTTTGTCTCTGCTCGGGCCATTCGTGAGAACCTACGCAGGAGCCCGAATCTCTAAGCCCTAAACCCGAAGCCCGAAGCCTCAAAACCTTAAGCCCTAAACCCTACACCCTACAGCCTAAACCCTGAACGCTAAACTCTACAGCCTAAAGCCCTAAACCCTAGAGCCTAACCCTGAACCCTAAACCCTACAGCCTAAAGCCCTAAAGCCCTCATCCCTCAAACCTAAACCCTGAGCCCTAAACCCTACACCCAATCTGAAGCCTAAGCCCTCCCTGAACTCAGGAACTGGCTGGATCTCTTCATCGTGTGTCTTGCCTGGGTGCTTATCCGATGTATGGTTAGGGTTCTTCAGGGGGTCGGAACAATTACTAGTAGTACTCCCCGATGTTTTTGTTTTAACATAACCATCCCGCAAAACCCTGTCGTAATTATTCAGCCCCCTAAATTTAAGCTCAGGGTCACAGAGTTGGGGATCTGGGGTCGATGGGTTTGAGAGAGGGCTGGCGGAGGAGCGCCGAGGCTCGGCAGGAGGTTGAGGGTTTAGGGTTTAGGGTTCGGGCTAGGGTCAGGATCAGGTTCTATGGGCCTGCGTAGTGACTTAGGGACGTGCAATTAGTCTTCGCTTCGGTTTTGGATCAGCAATGCTGGTAGTGGGCCCAACACATGGGCTGTTTTTGTTTTTTGGTAATCCTCTTCGGTAGCCATTTTGGCTCAAGCAATTTCTGGCACGAGCTTTGCTGACAGATTTAGATTTTGCATCATGCCTTTCGAAGTTCAGCAACTCTTGCGCCGTGACATGTTTGGGAGGTGACCTTCTTTGGTCTGTGCCCGGCGCTACTCTACCAGTTCTGCGTAAACTCATTTCACGAGATGGTGATGGATTTGAGCTTCGGTAACCACCAGCCAGTTGGATGGAAGATCGCTGAGCTCTGGCTTGCCTTCAAGAAGCAGTACGCTTTCTTCATTCCATGCATGTGTGCGCCCTCCTTTACAAGAGCGCGACTACTATCATGTGGGGCTCAGGCCATGCCATTCCTCCTGGCATCAGAGCAATGTGCACTTATTTCAGTGGTCATTTTCCACTCGCTTTGCTGGAGATACAAGAATGGGAGCCCTTCCTGCGAAATCTTTGTGCTATGCTCATGCCTTACAGCACGAGCAGCATGCTGTTGAGTGTCACGTGTGTGATCTTGCCAACCATTTTGGCAACCCACGGCATCCCTGACGCCTTTCCTGGTGTACTAGGAAGGTTTGCCTTTGGGCGAAGAGCGAATATGTTTCATACTTACTAGTGTCGTTGACAAGACCTTGGTCATGCCAGTGACACAAGACGGTTCTGGCAATGGATCATTTCTGTTGGCCTTTGATGTCAAGACTGCGGATGAGTGGATCCCCTTCGCATCCAGTGACACGTCGACTATGACAGAAGCGGAGATTCTTTACACCCTTGGAGGATTATTTGCCGCGATGCAAGTGGCTTCAAAAGGACAGTGGAAAGTCCGTAAGAGTCAAATGCACAGAGTGGAAGCTAGAAGCATACACTTGCAAGAAGTCTTCGGGTTCTGCCAAAGCCAGGAGCCCAATGTGGTTTTGGTAGGCTGGTAGGAGACCTCAACGATGAACCCACTTTGTCCCCTTTGGCACCGGGGTTGACGGCTTCAGGCTCCACTCTCATCAAACCCCCGCGCGGTATAGGGAGTCGGTGGAACTCGAGCAGGGTTATTGACTATGCTTTGTCAAGTACACTTCCTGAAGGCCTCCAGTCAGCTTGAGCCTCTGGAGGAACGATGGAGTGATCACCGGGCCTTTCAGACTACCATTGCAAAAACCTGCCGTGTTTCGAAAGCTCCTTCAGGCAAGAAATAGTTCCTTGCAACTTGTACATGCCTCTGGAAGAAGCCTCCTACAAGACGTGGACTAGCCAACTCGAGCAAAAAATGGGCCTCTCAACAAGTTCAATGGACCTCCCAAACCCAGGATTTTAAAGAGCAGCTCGACGCTTGTCAAACCGAACTTCAACAGCAAAGCACGGCGGATAGGCAGAGGGAAGAAGTTTGTTCCTGGCTTGGCTCGAGCAGATGATGCAGGCATCAGCATGAAAAACTACGGAAAACTTCAGCGTCAGAAAGGCGCCTCCGCTAAAGTTCGCATTGTGCCTCGAGTCAAGCAACAGCCTTGCCAGGAAAGCACTTCGGCTCAGCTTAGAGTGTGGCGCAAGATGCGGGTCGTCTTCTTGAAGTTGAGCCTAGAATCCAGCACGGTGACACTGGAACTGAGCTCCTTGCTCTCCAACGCAAGATCCGACGTTCTCATCAGTACAAAGAAGGCATGACCGCAGGATGCCGAGACTAAGGTTCGGGCCCTCACTAGAGCTGAGACCTCAGATAGACTGCGACGGTGGAGAGAGCGTCTGCAGGGAGACGTAAACGAGCTCAAGCGGCTCCGCAGAATGCCTGTTGCTGCTACGAACAATGTGTTCAACGAGCCTCAGAGGACGGGCCGGGAGTCTTGCGCAAACTTGAAAGCTTCTGGGCTAGCGTCTGCGATCGAAGTGTTGCCCCTGAAGAGATGTCGCCCGAAGCTTACTTGCAAGAGTATGGGCCCTCCCCTCGACAGCCACAAACTTGCGCCCCTGTTTCCGATATCGATATCCTCGCTGCGGCTCGCAAACAGCGAAACAAAGCTGGAGGGACTGATGGTTGGAACGGCGCCGAAATTTCCTTATGGCGCCAAAATATGTGGAAAGACTTCAACTTCATTGTGCAGAAATGGGAAGCTGTAGGTTTTTTCCCCTCCGGTGGCCAGAAGTGATTCAGGTTCACCTGTTTGGCCAGGGGCTGCCAGAGCCGAAGGCCGTGCCGCTCCGGCATCAAAGCCAAGGCCAATATGTCTGCTCAGTGCGTTTTGGCGCACTTACATGTCGGCCTGCGTGAGCTCGTCCGAAGCCACGCAGTGGTTAAATGCTCAGCTCCAGCCGTCGCAAAGCGGCGGCCGCAAAGGCCGTCGGGCTCAGTCAGCTTTCGTTCCAGTTGCAGAGCAATATGCGCTGAAAAGGTTTATCTGCAGTTTGCATCTTAGCACAAAGCAGTTGCTTATGTCAGTCCACAGCGTGCAGCTGCCCTTGTCAAAGCTGTCCAAACCCTGTGGGGCAGCCAAAAAAGGTATCTTTGTTGGTACAAAGAAGTCCTTCCCCAAGCTAGGCCAGTCAAGGCTTCAATGCCCCAAGGAGACGCCCTTTCGCCTGCGGTCATGAACTTGATCTTGGCAAGTCCCGTCCCGTCAACGAAATCCTTCGGAAAGTTCCTTCCACCACCAAGTGTGTGTTTTCTTGGACGATAGGACCTGGGCCTTTCGAAACGTCAAGGATTGCCTTGAAGTGTACATTGCTTGGCAAAGCCACAGTCATCGTCTGGGCCTCAGAGAAAACCATGACAAGACGCAGCTGACTCATAAGACGGCTGCAGGACGGCGCAGTCTTGAGGCGTCAGCAACCTTTGCAGCGCATGTCCACAACAAGGACTTTCGTGCCCTCGGGGCCATCTTGAGCATGGGTGCGGCGACGACTAAGGAGCTTGAACGTGTGCAAGGTTGGACATGGGGGCGACAGACTCCGTCTCCCAATGCTGCGTCGACTCGAGCTCTTGTTGCTGGTGTGGCTGCCGCGTCGAAATTTGTCTATGGTTGGACGGCTCGGGCTCCAGCAAACAAGGTCATCTCGAAGTTGGAGACCAAGCTTAAGTGTGCCAGTCATGACCATAGCGTGGCATCCACGCACCTGGCTAAGATGGTCACAGGCCATAGCAGGGATGTGTGCTGTGCTGGAGCGCAAGCAATTGCGGCGTGCACAGGACCGTCAAGGCGCGAGGCTCGCCGCTTCAAGACTGGGGCTGCACTGGTGGCCCCGACTCGCGGGGTAGGACGTTCATGCAGGATCTAGGATGGATTGTGGAACAGGCATGGCTCTGGCAGCGCCCGCAAATCCGCCAACAGGTCTCCTTGGACCCCGAAATCCTAAGTTTTTCTTCCTCTTTCGATGCCCACATGCGTGCGATTAGAGAAAGCTGGCGTCGTCAGAGATGTTTTGATTTAGCTATCTTGCTTCGGGTCGTCATGAAACGGTGGCCATGCAAAACGTTCCGCGCCACGAAAAAGATATGGAGTCTGTTCGACAAATACGACGGGAGACGCCGACTGGTCCGGTGAGGCTTGAATTGCCGCTCTGGCCGTGGCGGCCGGGGATGCGGCCGAGGGCGTAGCATTCCGCTGTCTACAGGGCCGTGTTGGCAGCGTACACGTTCGATAGGGCCATAGAGCTTCTCCTCACGGACGGCAGCCTGGAAATCCGGGACACCATGATTGCCATCCGCGGCTGAAAAGATGCACAGAGCGTGCTTGCACTTAGGGTGGCCCCGCCTTGGCTCCAGGGTCCCTCTTCTGGCCCGATGACAGGTACTCGCCGGTTTCCCCTGATGGGGCGATTTGCCTACTCTCGGCCTTCAATGTTGCGACCGCCCACCCCCCCCCCCCTTTGCCGGGCAATGACGTTTACGGCGCCCGGGCCGCTCTGCCAGCTTGAACTCCAAGTGGAGGGGGCGATGACGTTTTCGGAGCCCCTGTGAAGCCGGGAGGGATGGCGCCTTCGGCATGGGCCTGCATCTGCAGTGGTCGCAGTCTCTCTCTCTCTCTCTCTTTTTTTTTTTTCTCTCTCTCTCTCTCTATCTCTCTCTCTTCCTCTTCGGATCCTTCCCTTCGCCCCTTCACCCCCTTATCTAAACACACCCTAAGCCTAAACCTTAATCCCCAAACCCTACTAACCTGAGGCTTTGCTCTCTGTGGGAGGCCGCAGTGGAAGTTTTGACGCTTGTGGCCGACAGTGTCAAACTTTTTTTTTGTGGGGGGGGGGGGGGGGTTTAGGGTTCAGGGTTTAGGGTTTAGGGTGGGTGGGTGGTAGGGTTGGTGTTAGTTAAGAGAAATAGCTGGCGATTTGGGATTTCGGGGATGGGTGTGTGTTAAGCAAAATTGGGCTTGAAGAAGGCTCTAGGAGTTTTGAGGTTTCGAGCCGTGGGCTTGAGGTTGTGGGATAAAAAGCAGCCTCAATCCCCCTTACCCACCTTAAGCAGCAATCACGAACCCTCAGACCCCAACACCCTAAGCTTCTAAGCCCCTAAACCCTAAACCTTAAACCCTAAACCCTTAACCCGAAACCCTTGTGCGAGTGTGAGAGTCGAAACCCTAAACCCTAAACCCTAAACCCTAAACCCTAAACCCTAAACCCTCAACCCTCAACCCTCAACCCTAAACCCTAAACCTTAGACCCTAAACCCTCACCCCAGGCGAGTCGTCCTTGAAAACAGCGATGCCATGGACTCGGTGGCCGGCCTAACCGGACTTCGTATGGCCAGGCCACTGGGCTTCGGAAGCCCTCAAAAGCCCTTAACCCTTAAGAACCCCGTCAACCCTAAACCCTAAATCCTAAATCCTAAACCGTAAACCGTAAACCCTAATAAACCCTAAACCCTAAGCCCTAAGCCCTAAACCCGAAACCTTAAACCCTAAACCCTAAACCCTGGACCTTAACATCCCAAACTCAGCAGCAAAAAGAAGGGTTTCAGCTTTACTTCCCGGCCTGGGGTTGTCGCCCAACTCCCCCGAGCATGGTCGCAATTGTTCACACGCCAGGCTCATCCGGATCACTCGTGTCGTGCCTCGGCCTTGCTAGGTAGGGTTTAGGGTTTAGGGTTTAGGGTTTAGGGTTTAGGGTTTAGGGTTTAGGGTTTAGGGGTTAGGGGTTAGGGGTTAGGGGTTAGGGGTTGAGTAGGGTTTAGGGGTCTAGAATCCCTTATTTAGTCAGCAACCCCAAGAAGGGTAACCCTTATGATATAATGGTTTCTGCGCTACCACGCTTAAATGGGCTTACTTGCTTGGCTCTGGAAACAACAAACGCAGAGCTTCCCTTCTGAGCACTTTCAATCATCTTCTGCCATCGGGACCTGAAACCGTAAGCCACTCATAAGCCCAGAACCCGCGGGAGGACCGGTGTCTAGCCCCGAAACCTAAGCATTTTTTTTGGACTTTAAACCCTAAACCTACATTGCGCCATGTCTCTGACTTCTTGGGCACCTCAGAAATGCTTGTACGCCTCAGTCATCCCAAACCCGAGACTTCCCGAAGCTTGCTGCGCCCTGTCTTAGCCTTATTCACCCATGTGACCTTTGGTTCGGGTTTAGGATTTACAGGGCTTTGGGGGTGTAGGATTTGGGTTTAGGGTTTTCGGATTCCCTTGCCTGCCATGTGCGGCTGTCAGGTGCGAGTGGCAAAGCTGGGGAGAATCCTGCGCTTTGTGATGGCCCTGCGCCCCTCCGCCGCACTGCCCCCAAGCGCGAAGGACCCAACGACCAGCGCCCCAAGAAAGGGAGCAAAACCTTCCTGCGGGTTTAGGGTTTATAGGGCTTTAGGGCTTTAGGGTTTAGGGTTTAGGGCTTTAGGGCTTTTGGGCTTTAGGGCTTTAGGGCCTTAGGGCTTTAGGGCTTTAGGGCTTTAGGGCTTTAGGGCTTTAGGGCTTCAGGGCTTCAGGGCTTCAGGGCTTAGGATGAAGAGTCGCTCTTTGATTGTTTTTTGCTTCGATGGCGATGCCCAAAACTGAGGCACGCTGATCCAGTCGATCATCTACACGCTGACACCTGGCAAGCCTGATTTAGGCCTTCTTAGTTGTTTTTCCATCAACATCTGTCAAGTCACTCTGCCAGCAAAGAATTTCAAACCTTAAACTACCCTGAAAGGTCCAACTGAAGTTTGTCAGTCTCAGAAGCACCTATGGAACCTTTGGCCGTTCAATTATGGTTGGCAAGCAGCAATCACCTGCCCAGCCGGTCTTCGAGGAAGTCGCTCATTTGGGCCCTCGTCCTGCTGGCGCTCATTGCGCCTTGCTTGGCATTCAACCGCCAAGCTTGGGTTCGGTTCTCCCTTAGTTCAATCAGTTTAGGGCTTAGGGTCCAGGGTGCTTAGAACAGGGTTTAGGGCGTAGAAACAAGGGGCCCTCAACTTTAAGTCTGCAATTCCAGGCAGGTCCGGATCATGACTCAGCCGACATACACCTCAACTCCCCCTGAATGCCTAAGCCCCCGAGGATCCCAAAGTACCAACCCTGAAGCCCACAACCGGTACTATTGAGGTCTTGGAGCTGTGGTACTTTGTGACTGGTTTTGCAGTACAGGGTTTTCGAGGGTTGGCGTAGATGTACTGCGTGGGTTGGTGGCCGCCATGTAGTGTTTGCGCGCTCCAGCCGTGTTTGCGCAGGATGACTTCCGTGGTCTATCAAGCCCCTAAAGCCTAAACCCTAAACTTCAGACCCTAAACTCTCAACTTCCCCCAGGTCTACGTGTTCGCTGTCTTGTTCGCACAGGACTGCGGGGAGAGAACGCAGCAAGAGATGGAAGACAGACGAGGTTCAGGTGTATGATCATGAGGTGTGTACATGTACATACATATACATGTATAAATATACATATACAAATATACACATAGGTGTGAGCATGTATCAGCATACATGCATGTGTATACACACATATAGATAGCTTAGTAGAGTGTAGCATGGCTGCAACTCCGCTACTGCGCTTCTGGCCATGTGTGCTAACGTTGGCACCTTGAAGCTTCCTTGCGTTTGGATGATGCAAGGGTTCGGGGTTTAGGGTTTAGGGTTTAGGGCTTAGGGTTGGGAATCTTCATCAGGGTTTCAAGCTTACTGCAAAAGGGTTCAGGGTTTCAAGGAACACATGGAATTCTGCAGCTTCATGTCCCTTCGTAAGAAGGCCGTGGGAGATCATCTGATCGATCCCACTGCGGACCCTCTTCCCGAGGCGGGGGGTTAGTAGGGAACTACATGTGCCCTTAATATGATTCCTTTACCTCCTTTGAAGGGTTCTGAGGTATGGGCCCAAAGGTTTTCTAGGGTATATAGGGGGGGTATATAATTTGTAAAGTAGACAAACCCTCAGAAAAGGGTACCCTTGCTACAGTATGATTTCTGAGCTACCAAGATAAGGGGCCCCCCTTGAAAGGCCGATACTAAGGGACCATGAAACTACGCTAATAGGTAGGCTCTATCAGGCTCGTCTTCTGGGGAGTCCGGTGGAACAGGCTCCGACCCCAAAAGCCAACGGTTTGGGGTTCAGGGTTTTAGGGTTTGGGGTTTTAGGGTTTAGGGTTAAGGGTTTCGGGTTTAGGGTTTAGTGTACCCGAAGCTACGAAGCCATGAGCCAGAGGGCCATCGGGTCCCCCGACACCTCCCCAGAAAGGGGTATCTCAGGAATGTAAGTCTAAGACCTGAAGTGGTTCGGGGACATCCTTTGGGGGGTGTGGGGCAGTTTAGGGCTGCACAACTCCAACAGCTTGAGCTGGAGAAAGGTTGACCCTTAAGCCCACATCTCTGCACGAGAGCAACCCTAAATTCCAAACCCTAGTTAAATCCCAAACCCTAAACCCTGAACCTCCCATGCAGCAGAAACCCTAAACCTCTGTTGTATCCCCCGCGGTGTGCGCGAGTGCTGGGCGGGTGGCAGCAAAACGTCTAAACCCTAAACCCTGAACTGAAGTAACCTCGGACCACAATCTCCAGGCAGGAGATGACTTCTCAGATCAAATACAGGGGGGAGCCCCGGAGCCCTAGTCATGGCCACAGCAGCACCAGTGTCAGCTTTACTCCTAAACTTACTAAACCCTAAGCCCTAAACCCGAAGCCCTAAACCCTGAAACCCCTGAACCCCTGAACTCTGAACCCTGCACCTTCAACCCTAAACTGCCCTAAAAACCCTCAACCCTTAACCCCCAAACCTCCAACCCTACACCCGAATATAGGAGCCTGAATGATCAGTAGAACAGGGTTTCGGGGGGTTATTACAAAGGGACCATAAGGGAATATTATTTAGTACTTATTCCGACCCCTACCATGAAACGCGAACCTCCATGTCTCCACGCTCTTCCATGTCGCCAGGCGGCGGTGCGCTATTTCGACTCGCTGCCCATTGCCATGCTCAGCCTCTTCATGAGCCCCCTGGGCCTGGTAAGGACACCTTGGTTTAAGGCGGACCTTGGGAGGCAGCTTAGGGTTTAGGGCTTAGCGCTGGCCTCAGCTCCAGTCTTAAAGAAGGGTTTAGGGTTTAGGGTTTAGGGTTCAGGGTTTAGGGTTTAGGGTTTAGGGTTTAGAGCCTAGGCTGTAGGGTGTGGGGTTTCCTGGTGTGGGCATTACTGGCCCATTCGGAATTGAACATTGTGCAATTTGAGCTTCCTTGCCTTCGGGGTCCCTAAACCCCAAACCCCAAACCTAAACACTAAACCCTAAACCCTAAACGCAAGGTGCTGGGCACATGCGCAACATGAGCAATCCCGCTCTCTGCCGAGGCATCGCCGGAGGCGTCAGCTGGGAAGATGTCATCACACCACTGATTGCCGCGCGGGCCGCATCTTTTGAGGGCACTTGATCTCCCTAAACCCTAAACCTTAACTAAACCCTAAACCCTAAACCGAACCCCTAAACCCTAAACCCTAAACCCTAAACCCTAAGCCCTAAACCCTACTAAACCCTAAACCCTAAACCGAACCCCTAAACCCTAGACCCTAGACCCTAAGCCCAAAACCCTGAGCCCTTGAGTTGGCAAGCATTAGGGCGACATCCAGCACAGAGGGGGCATCGACCTTCTTTGCGTTCAGGGTTCAGGGCTTCGGGTTTAGGGTTTACAGATTTCATCGAGGCGGGCAAAGTCTTTAGTAAAAAGGGTTTGGGGTTTAGGGGTTTAGGGGCTTAGGGGTTTAGGGGTTTAGGGGTTTAGGGGTTTAGGGGTTTAGGGGTTTAGGGGTTTAGGGGTTTAGGGGTTTAGGGGTTTAGGGGTTTACGGGTTGAGGGACACTGGCGCATTGAGAATTGAGACCCTGACGTGGGCCTTTCGAATGGAGAATGCGGCCCCCTAGGCTATGTCTCCTGTGTGGGCCTTTGTGTTCATCTTCTACGTGGCGTTCACGTCCCTTGGCGGCTCGTGGAGTGTTTCCGTGGAGGCGTGGGGCTTGTTATGTCTTGCTTGGTAGGCCCTCGGGATATTTTGTATCTTCCCTACTGGGTTTATGAGGATAATATGAGGATCATATTGGGTTTATGAGGATAATATGAGGATCATATTTAGCAATGAATACCTTTCAAAGGAGGACCAAGCTGGCTCTTATCCTTTCATGGTTGCTTCATCTCTCCTCACGTCAAGCGGACGACATTTGTTAGTGATGGGCTGTTTATCTGCATTGCCGCTGGCAGCCAAGGTATTTTGCGGTGCTTAATGCCTCCAGACTGCATTGAGGTCTTGTTGCAGGGCAAGGGGTACAGGCATGGGATGTGCCGCACAAGCCAAGTTGGCCAAGTGGCACGCGCACATCACATATCAGCAGAGTCAGGACAAGCAAGTTCAGGGTTTAAAGCAAACCCTAAACCCTAAACCCTAAACCCTCAACCCTAAACCCTAAACCCTAAACCCTCAACCCTCAACCCTCAACCCTAAACCCTAAACCCTAAACCCTAAACCCTAAACCCTAACCCTACCCCGCCGACATCTCTGTTGGCAGGTGGTAACGGGCGTTTTTTGCCAGCATCTGGGCCGTTCAGCATCACTTTACTTCTTTCTTTCTAGGCGGCCGCCTCGCAACGACTGCAGCTTCTTTATCCCCCTTGGGGTTTTTTTGTATTTTTTCATATAAAGCCCAAGAGGATTTTAAACATATTGTTTTGATTCAAGTTCTAAGGGGAGTGTAGTCGAAGCCTGAAGAACGGAGGAGCGCCATCGACAGTGCGCAGAGCGATCACACCATGGTGATGCAGTCCATCCTCGCGAATAAGGAGGCGCACATCGAAAAGATCCGGTACCTGCCCCCCGCCTGCAAGCGTCCTCAAGCGAATGGGTGGGTTTCGGTGACGCGTGAAGGCGTTCGGCCCCGATGTGCTAAGGACCTTTTTTGCCGAAGCCTAAATGTGGTGAGGGTTTCTGCTTTTTCTGGTACAGGGATGCACAACGGAGTAGGGCTGTGTTGCATTTTGTTGCCCTTCTAGTCGGCAAATCTGGACCGCCTGCCCTGTAGATGCTTGTCGTTACTCTGCGTGACGTGGGCCCCAACACCCAAAACCAACCCAAAACCCTAAACCCCAAAACCCTTAAAACTGCAGGTTCAGTGAGATCGATGCGGAGGATCGGGGAGTCATCACGTACCAGCTCCTCTCCGCAGGTCAAGTGACACACCCCTGGGTCCCAAAGGTCAAGTTGTGTCTCCTCAAGCTCATAATTCGATGGGTTTCTGCAGGCTTTGATGGGAACTTTGTGCTGTTTTGGGTGGTTTACTTTAGGGATCCTCAGGGCACAGCTGGCGGGCTTTCGACAAGTTGCACAGGAAGGGTTTGTGGCTCGCGTCTTCTACACCTCCTTCAAACCTTCACCGTTTGGATGCCCCAAGCTGCCCCAAGCTGTCCTGCCGGACCCCCGAGTGACCCGTTGGCCAAGTAAGCGCACAAGAACAGCGGCCCATGTGACAGGTGTGCCGCAGGCGTGCGGATGTATTCAGTGCGTGTGCGGGGATGACGGCCATTCAATATAACCTGTTAGATGGCGACTCCATCAGGTTACCCAAGCAAAATAGAAACAACATGGGATTGGACAAATTAAATTAAATTAGGAGTGGCGATTCCATGTTGTAGGAGAGGCACTGCGAAATGACCTGTTAAGGCGGGAGAGGGTTGGTGACGGGTGCTGGTTGATACGCGGCCTCAGCATGAATGAACTTTCTAAAGCCCTTGAACCCTAAACCCTAAAAGCCCTACACCCTAAACCCTAAACCCTACCTAAGCCCTAAACCCCCATTCCCTAACAATCGAAACGCAAGCCCAAGGATGTTCGAAGAGAAGGTGAATGACCAAGCCGTGAAGGCCTACTTCGAGTCGATGGACCTCGATGTCTGGGATGCCCCTTGGGCCCGACAGTGTCTGTGCACAGAGACCCTAAACTCTGAACCCTAAACCCTAAACCCTAAACCCGAAGCCCCAAACCCTAAACCCCAAACCCCACAGCAACAAAGACCGAAGCCAAGGCCGAAAGCTTCAGTCAAAGCTTCTCGCAGCTTGCTGACTACCAATTGCTTAAGAAGCCTCCCCCCCTCCGCCCCCCTCCCGAAAAAAACAAAAAAAAAGCTTCCTTCTAAGGGGGAAGATAGGGAGGGATTAGCATGTTTCTATTTTTTTTTTTGGGGGGGGGGGGGGTTCTTGAAAAAATGGTGAGCTGAGGCGTGGTCCTTCTTTAAGCTCCTGGATCTGGACTCAGGCACGCAGGTTCTGGTTCGGGGCCTTCTTAGGGCTTTATAGTTTTTTTGGACTTCTTGGGGGCTTCTTGAGGTTTAGGGTTCTGGTTCGGGGTCTTCTAGGGCTTTTAAATGGATTTTTTGGACTTCTTGGGGCTCTTAGGGTTTAGGGTATAGGGTTCAGGGAGTCTAGTGGGGCTTTTTAGGTGTTGGGTTCCGGTCTCAGGCCAGTACCGTGCCTGAACGGAGGACATTTTGGGATGACTTTCTTGAGTGTTGACCTTCCGGGGCTCTGTCAGCCCGTTGGGTTGTTCTTCAGTCGTTCTCGAAGCGAGACAGGTCACAAAAGGCCCCAAAGTTGTACCTGCAAATCTCAACCCGCAAAGCCTGTTGCTCGTCGTCGCAGTCTACATTGAAACGGTTAATCCCCTGCTAGACTCCCTTAAGAACCCCAAGAAGTCCCCCAAAGTTCGAAAAACCAATTAGCCCCTTAGCTGCACATTAAATAGCCTCCACGTGACGTCCAGCCGCAGCAGGTGGGGCTGTCGAGATTGAAGAGTTCTTGATGGGATGCCTACGCACTTGGTCCAAAGAAAGAGGCTTCATCAAGTCGAGGGTTTAGGGTTTAGGGTTTAAGGTTTAGGGTTTGGGGTTTCGGGCTCACGGGCTTCAAGGGTCTTGGGGTGACTATCGGGGTGGTGGGTTTTCACGTCGCGCCTACCTGGCTGCCTACCCCGTGTGGCTTGAAACCTAAGCCCCAGTCGTCCCAGAAGTTAGGAAATGCTGTTCTTGACACAGCCGAGACCTGAACAAATGACCCACCGCAAAAACGGTAGACAGACCTTGGGGTTTAGGGTTTAGGACCACAGCCTTGAGCCGTGTCCACTCCAAAGGTCTTCGTGGAAGTGCAAGGGCCATGGACATTGCAAAGATCGTCCACGACCAGGCGATGTGGGTGTTCGATGTTGCGTATGGATGCAGGGTTTTGGGGTTTCGAGACCAAAGCTGCAGCCTAAGCCATGCGCGCTCGGGTTTCACGACCACTGCCTTCGACGTAACCTGGCACACCAAGTCGCCCTAAACCCTAAACCCTAAACCCTAAACCCTAAACCCTAAACCCTAAACCCTAAACCCCGAACCCTAAACCCGAAACCCTAAAAACCCTAAAACCCTAAAACCTTAAACCCTAAAACCCTAAGCCCAATAAATCCTAAACCCTAAACCCATTTGCGGGGCTTGGGGCGAGGAGGCTTTCTGGGAAAGCTCTTACAGACCTAGAGTCAACGTGGGCTTAGGGTGGAGGTTGGCTTGGGACCCTGAACCGTGCAAACCTCAAGGCACTGAAAGTACGTTCCTCACACTCGATCCTCATGCCCAGCCCATGCACCCTCGAATCCCTGAACTTCAACCCCTTGGCCCTGAACCCCAAACCTCAAACCCTAAAGCGCAACCCCCCCCCCCCCCCCCCACAAAAAGAGAACCCTAAACCCTAAACCCTAAACCCTAAACCCTAAACCCTAAACCCTAAACTGGAGGCTTGGCTCATCAGGAACCAAAGCCGCTTCTGGACATTCGTGGAGGCCGCCATGAGCCTTTTGGGGACCAGATGCACATTCAGAGGGTTTAGGGTTTAGGGTTTAGGGTTTAGGGTTTGGGGTCTAGGGTTTAGGGTTTAGGGTTTGGGGTCTTTCCATCCTACGAACCCCTGAACAACCGGGTGCCAACGCAGGTGGAGATGCAAGCGCTGCGCGAGCAACTGCGCTTTTGAACTGGGAGCTTCGGGGTTAGGTAGAGTCTTGCAGCCCTAAACCCTGAACCCTAAACCCTAAACCCTGCAAGGGTTTAGGGTTTAGGGTGTAGGATTGAAAGCCTGAGGTAGGGTTTAGGGTTAGAGGGTCCAGGTCTTGGGAAGGTTTGGGGGTTCAGTGTGTAAAGAAAGAGTTGAAGCCCTAATTTTTAAGAAACAATCAACGTCCCCCAAAAGCATACTCCTTTAAACAATTGGGGGTATGTTCAAATCCTTCCGTCTGTTCTCCTTCTGTAGCTTAATGGGGTATGGGTTTGGGGTATGTTGTGTTATTTCGTAGATAACTTGGGACATCCCAAAACTTCGATCCCAAACTGTCCGCCAGCCCGAAAAACCTGGAACCCTGAAACCCTAAACTCTAAAATCCCCAACCCTTAAACCCCCAAAATGCTCGCCAGGGTTGCATACCCCCTCGAACTCCCCCCCCCCCCCACCCCGCCCCCCCCAACCCCCCCACCCACCCACCCTTAAGGACCCTATATTATGATTATGAAACTGCAACAACTGATCTAGCCCTAAACCCTAGACCCTAAACCCTAAGCCCTAAACCCTAAACCCTAAATCCTGCTAAGGACTTTGTAAGTACGCCTCAGAGCCACCGGCCCTGCTAGGGAATCGAGAGGAGCATCCCAGGGGCTCTTCCGAAGGCTTGAACCCTTGGCCTCCAACCCTTGACACGTTTAGGGTTTTGGGTTAGGGTTTAGGGTTTAGGTTTTAGGGTTTAGGGTTTTAAGGTTTAAGGTTTTAGGGTTTAGGGTTTAGGGTTTAGGGTTTAGGGTTTAGGGGCACTGTGCTCACAACATGTTTTCTGAGCTCATATTGAATTGATGCGCTCACAATGCAAGTCGCCATGGCGAAGTCGCCATGGATGTCGCTTGCCCCAAGAAGCGCCTAAAGTGCCTTAGAGCCCGAAAGCCCCAAACCGTATCCAGGCCTTGCAGCGCAAAGGTGGCACAAAAAGCGTCAGAACTCGTAGCCTCAGTGTGTGCCCCTTCTTCCTAAGCCCTGAACCCCGAAACCCGTAACAGCAACCCTAAGCAAAACGACCCTAAACCCTAAACCCAAACCGTAAACCCTAAACCCGAAACGCTGAACCTTAAACCCTTATGCCAAGGCAGATCTCGAACTACGCTCCGATGCCCGTGGCCGGGAACTCGACCGTGGGCGACCACCCGTGACTTGTAGGCGTCGACGTGGACTCCTGGTTCAGGGCTTCACGCTTATTGGGGGGTCAGGGTTTAGGGTTTAGAGTTTGGGGTTTAGGGTTTAGGGTTTTAAATGGTTTTAAGGTTTAGGGTTGGGTATACTATATGGGGGTTTACGGAATCCTACTATTTGGGGGTCTATATAAAGGGTCCCCTAGTTTCGTAAACCCCCTATTTCAGGGCTTCACGGCTAATCTTAGGATTCTTGGGAATGATTTTGTTTTTTGGGCGCTGTAATTCCGAAGAAATGGCTAAAACAAGAACTTTTGCTAGGGTTCCAAATCAGTTTGGTACCGATGGGTGTTTAGGGGCTTAGGGGTTTAGGTGTTTATTTTAGGGGTGTAGCGGCTTTGGGGTTTAGGGGTTGAGGGGTTCAGGGCTTCACAGTTTTTTGGGGGGGGGGGGGGGGGGGTGGGAGGGTGGGGTTTACCGGGGCACACAAAGGGTCTGCGGGCCAGATGCAAGAGATTATGACTTGTAGGGTGTCTGGGGCCGGGTGTGGCGTGTAGGGCTTGTACGGGTTTAAGGAAGGGTATCTAAACCCCATGTGGCTGCAGGGTTTATAGGGTGCTTGTTGCAGGACAAGGGTTTATTTAGGAGTTTTCCAGGAGGCCACACTGCATAGGAGTCGAGGAGCCACAGCTGCAGGCAAGTGGCCGGTAGAGCTGAATTCGTTTGCCCTGGCTGCGTGGCAGGCTCTCGCAACCCTGAGCTGATACGGCCCTAGCATCCTTTTAATATGGGGGTCGGAATAGTTACGAATAGTATTTTCTTATGGCCCTTTTTTTGCGATAAGAACCCCTAACCCTATTCTAATTCTTGAGGTCCCTACATTATTATTATTTGTATTTTTTCGGTCGTCCTTGTTCCCGGTCTTTTGGCGATAGGATCCCCTTTACAGCCCCTTTCAGGTTTCTGGGCTGCTGGGCAACCCAATATGTTCCTCACGGACTTTCCTCTGTCAAGATGTTTGGGCTTCACATAGTGCCCTTATTCAACTTATTTGGCGTGGGTTCCTTGGATCATCTTCTATACACTCGTTGTGGTTTGCAATGTCCTAAACCTTAACTCATGCGTGCAACAGCAACACAGCTCCCATGTTTGTTTGTTTGTTTTTTTTAATCGCAGCTTGCCCGGACGCGAACCCGGGCCCAGTAAACTGCTTAAACCTGCCCGGCCTGGCATGTGTGGGCATGAGCGCCGAGACAGCAGAATGAAACGCAACCCTAAATCCTAGGCCCTAATCCCTAAACCCAATTAACACCCTAAACCCTAAACCCTAAACCCTAAACCCTAAACCCTAAACCCTAAACCCTAAACCCTAAACCCTAAACCCTAAACCCTAAACCCTAAACTCCTGCAGTGAGCTTCCGCCGGCCCATTGAATTCATTCGGCCGCACGGCGGGCGAAAAGGTCGAATCCAAAAAGTGACATTACCTGGGTTTTTGACTACGATTTTCTTTGTTACTTTTTCGGTTCTGGGTTCCTGGCATAGCTACTTCTACCTAAAAACCCTAAACCCAAAACCCTAAACCCCAAACCCGAAACCCCAAAAAGTAAATATTTTTTCTAGGGTCTACTCCAAGGCAGGCTCAGCCCGCAGTGGCTGGAGCGCTAGTCTCTGGTCCACGTACACGTTTAAGGAACCTCAGGCTCCAAGCTCTTAGGGTTTAGGGTTTAGGGTTTAGGGTTTTGGGGAGTTTTGGTTTCCTGCTGTGGCGGTTGACGGTTTGCAGTGCTTGACGGGGAGGTCGGGTGTGCCCAGATGCAAAGGCGTTTCGGACAGGTGGGGCGCGGGGTGGGGGGGGGGGCGTGGTAGGTACCTGGGGAAGCTTAGGGAGTCTTATAGGGAGTAGTGGGGAGTGTTAGGGAAGAGTGGGTTACATACCCTCCCTGAACGTCTGGACAAAGTATAGGGCCTCAAGCCATTAGAGTGGGTCCGTCTTACCAGTATACCCATACTAGGTAGGCCCTCGGGATATTTTTTATCTTCAAATTTACTGGGTTTAAGAGGACCATGTTTAGGAATATTTGTTCAGAGGGTTTTGAGGGTCATCCTAGCATAGACCCGCGACGGACCTTTCGCCCCTGTTTTTGCCGGCCGCATGCTGCGACGATTTTTTGTCGGAATCCGGGCGCGCCCCGCGCCTTAACATGCAAGCTTCAGCTTCTTTTCAGAAGTGGGGGGTGTCCGAAATTTGGGGGTACCTTATTGGGTGTATACCTTCTTATAAGGGAATCCCCTACTATCTGGGGGTCTGTGTTGGGGCTCTCCTTCTTTCGGAAACCCCCAAAGTGCTCAGGGACCTTCTGGGTCTTCCAAGGAGCAGCATGCCAGGTCCTTGAGAGAGGTAGGAGCCTCCAAAGGCATGTGCCGTGGACCGCAGCGAGCAGGTCGGAATGGCTTCGTGTCCAAGGGAAGTTTTATATGGCCCCCTTTTTATGGGCCCTTAGTGGAGGAACCCTTAGATACTTTCTATATACCTATTAAGAAGAACCCAAGGGCAAAGAATGCTTCAGAACCCTTTGACCCTGTTCAGGGACCATGTAGCTTCCCTTAGAGTGTGGGGGTTCGGGTTCAGGTCGTTGGATGGCAGGGCTTCGGCACATTCGCCAAGATGGACAGGCATTAGGGTTTAGGGTTTAGGGTTTAGGGTTTGGGGTTTAGGGTTTGGTTGCGGGCATGGCGAAGGTTTACGGCCGCCTTGGCAGGCGCCAGAGCACCCCTTCCTGCACGGAACATGGGCGCGTCTGACATTTCCCTGGCTCCCAGCCAAAAATCAGGGAAGACTATTCTGTTATATGGTTCAGAATACGAATGTACTGGCAAAGCATATCTGAATAAACCCTACACCCTAAACCCTAAACCCTAATCATTAAGTACCTAAACTAGCACCTTCTGGCCTCCCAGACGTGCCAAGCGGGCCCACGCGGCCGCGAATTCGAATCTTTAAGAACCTGAAGGTCCGGGCACGGCGACAGCCCTCCCGTCCTTCTGGGCCCTGAGCCGTAAACCCTAAACCCTTATGAAAAAGGGGATACCCTGAACCCTAAACCCTGTGGCTAGTCGGGTGGCAACAACAGCCCTAAACCCTAAACCCCTAAACCGTAAACCCTAAACCCTAAACCCTAAACCCTAGACCCTAGACCCTAAACCCTAAACCCTAAACCCCAAACCCTAAACCCCAAACCCTAAACCCTAAACCCTCCCCAACCTACCTCCCGAGCCCAGAGGGACATGAGATCTGGGATCCCGTGACCCCGAAATTTTGCGTCCCGAAGCCGAAGGCTTTCGGACCGCCAGTCGGTTCGCAGGCAGATCGATCTAGGGATGTTGGCTGATAGGGTTTAGGGTTTAGGGTTTAGGGTTTAGGGTTTAGGGTTTAGGGTTTAGGGTTTAGGGTTTAGGGTTTAGGGTCTAGGGTTTAGGGCTCAGGGTCAGGGTTTGTCGGGCTTCAGCTCTGAAGGTGGGACTTGATACTCGTAACATTCTTGCATACTTAAGCATGCCAAAAACCCCTCAAAGATCAACCTCAAACCCTCTTGCCTTTGGGTCTTGCAAGTTCTTCCCAAGGTTTTGCTGGCCGGGCCCTTTCCGAGTTGAGCTTGGGCTTGGGCGCCTGAACCGGCACACCCACCCTTCTTCGATCTTCCGTGCTTGCTAGCTTCCGCATGACATACACAAGAGGCGACCAGCGTCAAGACACTCGGCTTGTGGCGGAACCCCAAAATTGGCATTTCCCAAAATAGGGGTACCCCTAATATACCCCAACATACTTTCATCCTTATCCTTATTTTTGGAACCCCCCTAACAAGGGAACCCCTATTTTCGGAAACCCCCAAATCAAGAGGGAGACTAAGTGTATCCGGCTGTGAATTGCCTAGCGCAGGCTCTGGCGAGTGACGACCCTCGACAATCTGCCAGGGGCCTTCAGTGCTATTAATTTGGGGCCCACGCGCGAGTGCTATAACCCTAGACATCCCCTAAACCCTCAGCCCTAGACATCCCGAAACCCTAAACATCCCTAAACCCTAAACATCACTAAGCCCTAAACCCTAAACCCTAAACCCTAATTCCTAAACCCTAAACCCTAGCGTGTGCTCGCGGGAAGACGCGAAGTGCTGGGGTGAGCTGAGGCCCCGCCGCTGGTACGTTGGCAGCCACCTGGCGCATGGCATTTTATGTGCTGGAGAGTTGATGAGCAATTGTTTAGGGTCTAGGATTTTAGGGTTTAGGGTTTAGGGTTAGGGTTTAGGGTTTGGAGTAATTATTAAGAGTTCGCATATTATGGCAATGGCTACAGTACCAAGAATACAAATCATACTATTACTTTCTGATCATACGAATGCTGCAAATAAAGTTTGCAATGACGATTTTCATTTCCTAATCATGCACCACCCGCTGGCCATCCAAACCATAGCAACCTATACCTCAACCTTCGACCCACCGAAAGACCCAACCCCAGACCCCTTAGGGTTCACGAACAAGAGGGTTTAGGGTTTAGGGTTAGGGTTACAAAGTGTAAGCAGAGTGTCAGTACTACGGCAGGTGGTCGGAAGTTGATGTTCCTTGCGAAGAGCACAGAAACAAGCCTAGCGCCTAACGCCTTAAATCCCACAGGCCCTTAAGCACCCGGAAACCCCACATCCGAATCCTAACCCTTAGGCTCAAAATAGCCGAAAAAACCTTGGAAAGTAAGGCCATTTGGGCCCTAAGGCCCTTCAGTAAGAGTTCTTGGAGCCTTAGGGTAAGACCACCCTAAACCCTCAACCCTCAAACCCTCAAACCCTCAACCCTCAACCCTAAACCCTAAACCCTAAACCTTAAACCCTAAACCCTAAACCCTACACCCTAAACCCTAAACCCTCAACCCTAAACCCTAAACCCTCAACCCCTTCCCCCTTCCCCCAATCCCTTCGGAAGTGTTCGGTGCTGAAGGCGTGAGCTTCTTCTGGGACCTGGCCTGCCGGGGCTCTCATTTCAGGGGGAGGGGTGGGTTTAGGGTTTAGGGTTTAGGGTTTAGGGTTTAGGGTTTAGGGTTTAGGGTTTAGGGTTTAGGGTTTAGGGTTTAGGGTTTAGGGTTTAGGGTTTAGGGTTTAGGGTTTCAGTGGTTTGCACCTCAGCTTCCGGCCCCTGAACGCCACTAGTGACGGTTTAGCGGAGCAGCATCGAGCGACGCGCCCTGCCTGGAGTGGAGCCTAAACCCCAAACCCTAAACCCTAAACCCTAAACCCTAAACCCTAAACCCTAAACCCTAAACCCTTTTACAGGAAGCCTAAGCCCAAAGCCCTTCCCCTTGAAGGTTCGACGCCAATCCTGGATGCGAACATCATTGCCCTGAGCTTAGCTTCGCGTGAGTTTCCGGATTGAGTAAACAGGGCTTGAGGTTTGCGAAACCCTAAGTTTCCTGAGCCCTAAACATCCCCAAACCCTTAAACCCCGAGCCACCCCTAAACATCCCTAAGCCCCGAAACCCTAAAATGGCTTGCACGTTGGGCTCGTTGCAGTGTGTGGAGGTCCTCTCCGAACCCTGCCCCTTCAAGGGTTTAGGGTTCTGGCAAGAAGGTTTAGGATGTAGGGCTTAGGGTTTGGGGATGTTCGGGGCCTGTTTTGGTAACCTAACGTGTCAGGAATCGAGCATAGCAGAGACGCCAAAAAGCAAGGGGCCATGATGTAGATCAAGCCTCAACTCACTTCTGTCGACCCTAAGCCCTAAGCCCTAAACCTCAAGCCTTGATGCTGAACAACTCTTATCTCCAAGCTCTACGTTCAGGGTGTAAGGTCTTGGGTTGAGTGGCTTGAGGCTTCAACCGGTAACCAGTGAATCAGGTCTGGGATTTGGGATAGGGTCTAGGTTTGGGGCAAAGAAGTACGTACCCCCACTCGGTAGGGCCTGCAACTGGTGTAACACTGTGGTTTGATACAGGTCCTTGCCTGGAGCCTAGTGGCTGCTTGATGCCCAACCCTTCAGGAACTTTTTTCTGCGCTGACTTTTTAGGCATGCCTTTTCCCTTTCTCATGACAGACCAGACCAGCCACGTGCACTGCAATGTGGCCTCCGTCTCAGCTAGGCGGAGGGGCAAAAAACACCCAAACCCTAAACCCCAAACCCCCAACCCTAAAACCCAAACCCGAAGCCCTAAACCCTAAACCCTAAACCTTAAACCCAGCCGGGTGGCAAACAAAAAAGCTGCCAAAACAAACTTCGCACGAAGCTGAGGTCAGTGGATGGGCCCTGGGCTTCGAGGCAAGTTGCTTGGGGTTTCGGGTTTAGGGTTTAGGGTTTTAGGTTTAGGGTTTAGGGTTTAGGGTCTAGGGTTTAGGGCTTAGGGTTTAGGGTTTACGGCGGAGGAGGCATTTCTGGCAGTCATCAAGTCCGGTTTCAAAAAGGGTTTAGGGTTTTCAAGCTTCGCTCCGTACTTCCGTTGCTCCGCACTACGCTGCTTGTGAGTCTTAGGGTTTACAGGGCGAAGAGTTCTGCACCCAGCATGGTGCAACATAAAGGTTCCACAAGGGTTTTACAGGGTCCATAAAGTCCTTAAGGGCTTTGTAAGTTTGTTTTGGGCTTATCCTGAAACCCCATGGCGTCCTGAGTAGTTCAGGGCTTTAGAGAAGGGTTTCGGATTCGGGTCGTAGAGTCAAGGGTTTAGGGTCAGCTAGGTGTTCATGGGGCTGTCCAGGCGCATTCTGATTCCGCACTAAGCAAGCTTGGCTTTCGTTCCGGTTGTTATGGCCCTTTACAATCTTCGACATGAACCAAGATAGCCAAAATGCCTGCGCGCAGCCGTTTGGGTTCTTCTCTGTCCCCTGAATGCCCTGGACTTTACATCCGAAGTTCGAAAGTGTATACCAGTATATTGGCCTTAGCCCAGGTCAGCTTGCATTGAGTACCGATACCGATAGCCATGCTGCAACTTTGGCGTTGTAGGATTTCAGGGTTTCTGTCTTCAGATGATCCGTTTATGGAGGCCTTCCGGGGAAGAGCTGGCAGTGACTCTGCAGGAGCTTTCGTATCCGACCCTGGCGGGCCAGGAGGGAATTGAAGGCCCGGGCGTCACCGCGCGTCTCCTGAAGCAGTGCCTTGGGGAGAGGAACCCTAAAAATTGGGGGCCACACCTGTACCCTCTACTACTCTAAGCACACTAAGCCCGAGTAAGGTTTTTGAGCCTTAAACCCTGTTAAGGTATATGAACCCTAAACCCTGTTCATTAGGGTTCCTGTCGTCCTTAAGGTACCTGGAGAGGCAGCACGGCTTCCCGATGTGCATCCAGCGCCTCGTGCACAAAAGCAGGGACGTGGAGGACGGCGCGACGATCCGCGAGGAGATGGAGCTCCAACTCATCCTTCTGCACCTCGCCTGTGGAGCCCCGGATATCAAGGGAAAGGCGGGGGGATTTCAAGTTGTGGCAAGATTTGGTCTAGGATGGAATGGGCTAGCCTGCCCAGAAGGCCTGCTCCCCCCCCAAACTAGTAGGCTGTGGCCCCTCGGCCCTACTGTATGCTAGTTTTTGTGGTAACGTTGTATAACGAAAACAAGGGACCTCCATTATAAACCCCCAAATAGTAGGATTCCCTGATCATAAGGACCCATCAGGACCCCAAGAAGGTACCCGCCCATAATTTCGGAAATCCCCATATGGGAAACCCCTTCACAATGTCTTGTGAATCCTCTTCGAGGCGCTGCAGGAGTTTGAAGCGGCTGTCGTTGACGGCAATGTGGAGGTGGTGCGTTTGCTGTTGGCCGCCGGTGTGGACAAGGACATGGAAAGGGTTAGCCGTGAGTAAAGGGAAGCTTGCACTTGGGGGAGTTCTAGGTATCGGAAACGGAACCCTAAACCCAGAAGGGCCTTGGGCCCGAATCCCCGTCCTAGGGGGAGGAAGGGGGCTCGTTGCAGAAGTGAAAGAAAAGCTTTAGGATTTCTGTTGAAAAGGTGAATTACAAAGCAGTTGTGAAAGCAATAAAAGCGATGTAAACAAAGTGTACTTCGTTGTACATCGAGGAAGCGTTGCATGAGGCGAATGAGTCGAAGCATAGAGGTTTCACTGGGTAGGAGGAGAAGCCTTGCTTGTGTGCGGTTGCCTGCGCCTCTCCGCTGCCTGAGTTGTGATCTCTCGACATAAACAAAAGCCACATGGCGTGCAGCAACTGGATGCGTATACCCCCCGCCCCTCCCGGAAGAGGGATGTGTCTGGGAGGTGTCTGGCGCGTGTCTCGGTGTGTGTCTCAGTCACCCAGAAGGCCGAGACGCACGGAGACACGTGAGAGACATCTCAGACACGCCGGGCAACGCCACCCAAAGCAGTGTGTCCCCCCGTGCAGGCGCTCTCCAGTTTTAATCGACTTCGCCTCAAAAGACCAGGTGCCCTGAGCCCTCAACTTGACGCACCCGCACCTTTGCAGGCCATGGCCATGCGTTGCACAAGCGTGCCCGCTCGCGTGCGCTGCTTGCATGGCAACATGCTACGACGCTTGAACGGAAATGCTTGTTCATGCCATGCACTCTCTTCTCCCGCTTGTGATTCCTTGGCTGCATCTGCATTGCAGAGCGTCTTTGACAACCCCTGCGGTTTTTCTCTGCACATCTTAGGTCTGCTTGCCGTCTGGTGTCTTGTTCTTGTACCTGGCTTTTTGCGCTTGTGCTAAGCCAACACGTCACGAAAGTATGAGAGCAAGAAGTGACTTCTGCACTCATGTTTACGATGCGGGCTACAGCTTTCGTGTCGACTGCCTCTATACGTTTATTGGTGGCTCAACATGAATTCACATCTCGCTTAGAGCTTTCTACGTCTCCTTAAGAATACTTACCTGAACCCGTAAATTGCTTATAATCTCCACTGACCCAGTAAACCCTAAATGCTAAACTCCAGCCCTCTGATACACAGCACGACAAGCTGAAGAGCTGCAAGGATACCACGCTTCCCATGGGCTGCGTTCCTCTGCTCGGGGCATCCCAAAGAGGACAGGTTGCGGTGGTCTTGTTCAGGAACTTCTGTTTTTGGGGCTGAGGCTTAGTTAAGTTACCAATAAATGGATCAATGGTATGCTTTCCTTATTGCGGTAACTTTGCCTAGGCACCTTAACAGAACTGAGGTTGCGATGGTGCGCCTTCTTCTGGAAGTTGGCGCGGAGAAGAATGCAAGAACCTTTGATGGAAAGACGGCCCTCCACTGTGCAACACAAAACGGTTATCTCGAAGTTGTCCGGCTCTTGGTGAGCTTCGGCGCTGACAAGGATCTGCCAGATGCAAACGGTGAGACAGCTCTTTTCGCCGCTTCGCAGAGAGGCCAGGTGCAGCTCGTGTACTTCCTGCTCGAATCTGGGTCGGATCCGAATCGTTGCAACTGCTGCGGTGCAACTCCTCTCATTGTGGCTTCTCTTGCTGGCCACGTCCAGGTCATCCGTTTGCTGTTGGATGCTGGTGTGGATGTAGACTTTCGCGCCCGTGCAGTCAAATTTTCTCGGGCAGTTCAGAAGCGTCCAAGACACGATAGCAAACCGAATCGCTAGAATGGGTTCAGGAGATTACCCGATGAACCCCAAACCCTCAGATGCTAAGCCCTAAAACTCTAAACCCTCAGCCCTACAGTAAACCCAAAGCCGTCCATGAACTCAAGGATTTCCGGGCGAGCTTCGGCGACACGGCCCTGATCTTGGCCTTGACCGCCGGCCACACGGAGATTGTCAGCCTACTTCTGGGAGCGCGTGCTGATCCAGCCGTACGTGGCACCTGGGCCACTGTTGCTTCCGACCCTAGACCTAAGCCCGAAACCCTATAGTGTGAGTCCTAACCGGAAAAATGTGCATCCCGAAAACTCAACCCTGAACTCGAGACCGTTATCCAGGCATGTAGAAAGCGAAGGCCTAGATCAGACAGACCAGATCTATTTCAGTGGCCTGACGTCTTCTTGACGCTTTATCGCTTCATGGTGTCGGATACACCCTAAGCCCTAAATCCTAAATCCTAAACCCCTGGATTGAGGGTGTAGGATTGTAGGGTTCAGGGCCCAGAGCATGATCAACTCATGTTTTGAGTGAGGTTCCCAGGTCGACTTCATTAGCACCCTGAGCTTTTGCATCCGGGTTTAGGGTTTAGGGTTTAGGGTTTGGGTTTAGGGTTAGGGTTTAGAGTTTGGGGTTTCTTTAGACCCAAGCCCGAAACCATGTAAGGTTTCTAGAAGGAACGAACCATCGAAATCCACGAAAGCACGACCGGTCTAGTTTAGGGCCCTTATCATACAGCCTTTGCACCACCCTTTGTAATACCTCTTAAACCCTAAACCCTAAACCCTAAACCCTATACCCTGAACCCTAAACCCTAAACCCTAAACCATAAACCCTGGAAAGCCCACAAGGTAGCTGGGGCTCGACGGCTGTGGCTTCAGCGTCTCGGAGGGGTCACCCTGAGATTGCTCGGCTTCTGCAAGCTTCGGGAGCTTCTCCGGAGCGGGGAGCGTAAGCCAGGGCTTCGTTTCGAGGGTTTATCTAAGGGTAGTTACATGCTCCCTTAGTATGGGCCCTTACAAAGGGTCATATTAAGGGCCCATGTAACTGTCCTTGCCTTACAGTTTAGGGTCTCTGCCTATGGGCTTGGGCATCTCGGGCATTCCGGGTTTCGGGAAAGTTTAGGGTTTAGGGTTTAGGGTTTAGGGTTTAGGGTTTAGGGCTTAGGGCCCAAAAGCTCCGCTCCCCCTTGGAATTGGCTTGGGGGCTGTCATGCCTCAGCCGTACATGGAATTGGGTTCCCTGTTGAGAAGCTCCGGGGACTGAGCCTCAGTTGTAAGTTAGCTTTGAAGTAGGGTTTAGGGTTTAGGGTTTAGGGTTTAGGGTTTAGGGTTTAGGGTTTAGGGTTTAGGGTATGGAGAAATCCTAAAGAAATTATTTCCACACGCATGCCATGCTGGCTCAGTCCCTTGAGCCCTCCAAGTGGAGGAGGCAGCTCAGTCCATGTCTACTAAACCGACATGGGCCATTCGGAGCTGCATGTTCCCCCCTTAACCCTAAACCCTAAACCCGAAACTCTACACCCACACCCTAAACCCTAAACTCTAAAGCCTTAACCCTTTAAAGCCCGAGCTTGAAGCCTTCAACCATCGGGCTACACCCAGCTGTGCCACTCGGACCGACTCTGCCTGTTCGCCCCAGGCATGCTCAAGGCATGCCTCCTTGTTGAACAGAAGAAAGGGTTTAGGGTTTCGGGTTTAGGGTTTAGGATTTAGGGTTCAGTGCTGAGGTGCCAAACTCAGCAGCGTAGTGTTCCAGATTTCAGGATCCCGACCTCCGAAGCCTCAACCCGGAAAACTCACCTGCGGAACCCCCTGAACCCTGTAAAGCCTTAAGCCCTATAAACCGCCTCAACCCCTACAATCATTCTCCGTAAGCCCGAAAGCAGATATGCCAAACCCCAAAACAGCAACCCCCAAACCCCAAACCCCAAACCCCAAACCCTAAACCCTAAACCCTAAACCCTACACCCTAAACCCTCTGAGCCCCAAGCGAAACACTCATGCGCTGGGGAGCCAGGCCGAGAACGCTTTCGGGCAGAACGTGAGCATCCGCTCGGAGTGGGTGGGGGACCTGGGTGGTTCAGGGCTCCGCTTAGGGTTTGGGGTTTAGGGTTTGGGGTTTAGGGTTTGGAGTTTAGGGTTTAGGGTTTGGGGTTTGGGTTTAGGCAAGACCCCAAAGACTCCCAAACCCCAAACGCTAGATTGGTGTTCACGGCTTAGGTGTTTTCACCTTGACCTTGGGGCCCACAGCAACCCTAAGCCCTAAACCCTAACCCCTAAACCCTAAACCCGAAACCCTAAACCCTAATTCCGCCCTCCACACCCCGAAGCCTGCAGTGCGAGCCTCCCAAGGCATCTGCCTGCGACGGCTGCGGCTCGCAGCAGGCGGTTAAGGTTTAAGGTTTAGGGTTTGGGGTTTAGGGTTTTGAGGGCTTGCAGTTTAATGCTCCAGGCTCTCAAGGGGCTGCGGCGTATTTCCGGAGTGCCAAAACAGGCGCTTTCGGAGTTTAGTGGTGAACCCTGAGTCCTGAACCCAACCCTGGTGGGTGCGGGTGGGCTTCAGGGGGCTTAGGCTTTGGGGTTTAACTAGGGTTGTTCCAGATTCTTGAATGTTTGCCTGAACCTCTTCGTAGACCAACCATCGAACAAGCCTTCCGCAAGCCGCAGCCAGAGAAAGCACGAACTCACGAGCCACCCAGAAGCACTCGAGTGTCATCTTCCCGGAGAGGCAAGCCCTGAACCAAAAAACGCCCGGAGCCATCAGACTCAACAACACCCCAACATTCATGCCTTCATCGGATTTCATCGGATCTTAGACTTCAAAGAAGGCCTTAGACTCCCAAACCCTAAACCTAAAACCTAAAACCTAAAACCCTAAAACCTAAAACGCTAAACCCTAGACCCTAAACCCTACCCCTCGAACCTAAGTGCTAAACCCTAAACCCTAAACCCTGGCTGTGGTGGGAGGCCTGGCTGGGGCTTGCACTGCCTTTGCCCTCATGGCCCCGCTGTGCCCGGGGCCCTAGGGCAAGCTCAGGCAGCTTCTGGATTTGAAAATAAGTATATGTATAAATGTGGATTCACATTGATATACATGTACTATATATGCATATGTCAGATATCCTCTGGACAAGCCACACGGAAACCTTGCCCTTCTTTATTCATGCTTCCTGTGTTGCGGGCGAGGTGCCTGGGGTTACTGAAAGGCGGTGCTTGTGCAGGCTGAGGTGCAGGAGTGGAAGGCGCCCGTGGAGGTGTTAATCAAGACTTGTGAAGAAAGAAATGCTGCTTCTTCTTCTAAAGGAATCTGTCTGTCTGTGTCTGTCTCTGTGTCTGTCTCTCTCTTTCTCTCTCGCTCTCTCGCTCTCTATATTTATATATGTATATATGTATGTACAAACATATCTACACTGGCACGTGCTCTAAAAGAGAACTCCCTGGTTGTGGCCGCCGTCCTCTGGGGCTCAAGCGACGTCCTAGTGGAGTTGACGTGGGCCTGTCGTGTAGCGATCGTCGCGAAGTGACCTCGCGGAGCGACCCTTTCGGGCCCCGTTGACCAAGGAGCCTCTTGAATTGCGATTTGTCTCGGATCTGCCCATCTATGTATATGTGTAGATGAATATAAATATACATGTAATCTATATAATAGCAGCGAACATCGTGTCAAACAATATAATAAGATATACTAGAAGCTATGTATGGGATCTCTCTTCCGAAAAGTTGGTCCTGGGATTCAAGGTAGGGAGGACATTTCGTGATGGGGAAGGCTCCGTTCACATAGCTGTCGGATCCAAAAAGCGCCCCGGCCGTTGGGATGTTCCCCCTCATACTTCGAGTCCTTAATAGGGATTATAAAAGGGGGTACTATATAATCCCTATTCAGGGCTGTCAGTCCTCACTCAATAGGGATTATAAGTGGGGGGGGGGGGGATGGGGGGGGAACTACAATCCCTAGTAAAGGCTGTTGGTATAAGGGGGAACATGCCAACCTGGCAGGATGATGGATGGGGCAGCGGCGGGGGGCCGTGTAGGCCAGCCTCGCCTGCACGAGCGAGTGAGGCGGGACACAGGGCTCCAGTGTGGCACATAATTTGCCCCTCAACCCTCAACCCCCTATTCAACCCTGAGCTTGCTTGCTTGAGTCTTGCGGCACAAGTCCACGAAGACGTACTCATGACACCAGCTATTCAACCCTAAACCCCTATTCAACAACCCTAAACCCCTTATCCCCCACGCCCTAAACCCTAGGCTCCAAAAACCAGACTCACCGGAATCCCAAATCTGATAATATTCCCTTATAGTCCCTCTAGAATTAGACTACAAGAAACCCCCGCCCCCCCCCCCCCCCCCCCCCCCCCCCCCCCCCAAAAAAAAAAACAAAAGATAAATCCTATATTCTAATTTTTTCAGCCTCCGTCTCCCCTGCTAAGGCACGTGCTTGTCATCCTGGTACTGTTGCCAACCTGTGCCGTGGCTTTGTAGCGGCTTTCTTGAAGGTTCGGTCGCCACCCTCCAGTCGGCTACACCCTCTAATGACTCTAAGTTTAGGGTTTAGGGTTTAGGGTTTAGGGTTTAGGGTTTAGGGTTTAGGGTTTAGGGTTTAGGGCTCAGGAGTCTGGGCTCAAAAATGTTTTAGGGTATAGGGTTAAGGGATGTCAAATGGTTACCGGTTCAAGGGGGTAGGGTTCGGGGGGGGTTGTATTGCTTTCTTCCGTGCCTGTGAAGCAGGGCTTTGAGGGGGGGGGACGAAAGCTCCATCCATCCCAGCGTCTCAGAGGAACTGGCTGGGAGGTAGAATTCAACCAACCACGGCCAGCAGTCAAGCCCTAAACCCGGACCCTAAAACCCCTAAACCTTAAACCCTAAACCCTACACCCTAAAACTCTAAACCCTAAACCCTCACCCCCCCCCCCCCCCCCCCCCCTTCCCTGCAATTGAGGCTTTCTTCTCGGAGTCCGGGCCCTGCAGTGGCTCACCACCAAGGGGCTACTTGGTTTGCAGAGGATCCCTAAACCCTAAACCCCAAAACCCTAAACCGGTTCTTTTGCTGGGGGTTCCCAGAATCAGGATTATTGTATTCTTGGAGGATTTATTCTTAGGGGGTACTTATTTTTTTTAGAAAGACCCAGCTCCCTGCACTTTCTCATTTTTCTTCGGAAGCCCTTTGGCCACAGGGTTCGCCGGCACCACAATGGCATGCAAGCCACTGAGGCCGGCTGGGGGGGGGGGGGTGCACGTGGGGTATAACCCTAAACCCTAAACCCTAAACCCTTAAACCTTAAACCCTAAACCCGAAAACCCTGAACCCTAAACCCTAAACCCTAAACCCTCAAGAACCGCTCCAAGGTCCTGGCGCACCTGCCCGAACCCTAAGAGTTGGGATGTTCCCCCTTGTACTGACAGTGTTTTATAGGGATTGTAACGCCCTCGATTACAATCCCTCTAGAGGACTGCTCGTATAAGGGGGAAATTCCCAACCTAAGACCTAAACCCTAACCCCTAGACCCTAGACCCTAACCCCTAAACCCTAAACCCTAATCCCTAAACCCTAAACCCTAAATCCAAAATCATCGGAATCCCAACGCGCGAGGAGGAGGCTGGCATGCTCTTTGGGTTGACGCAGGATGGCAAGGCCGTCCCAGAAGACTTGTGAGGGTGGAGGGGGTTTAGGGTTTAAGGTTTAGGGTTTAGGGTTTTGGGTTTTGGTTTTGGGTTTTAGGGTTTATACTTAGGTGGCTTCGGGCTGGGGGTACCCATACCTTACGAAGCCATGACATGTTGACCCGAAGCCCTAAACCCTATAAACCCTGAAAACCCAATAAACTCCAAAAACCGTACAAACCCCACACAGCCCAGGCAAAAGAGCAGGCTTTGGGCTTCTCCCGTTCGGGCGCATCGCGCTTTCACGGCCGTTTCAATGCCATAGATCCCTGAGCCCAAAACCCCAAAACCGAAAAACCTTTATGTAGCCTTGTTCGGCTGTCGGAAGGTGGAGCTGGGCTTCAAGGGTTTTGGGGAAGAAAGGTCGAGCTGGAGTAGGGGCTACACGGGGTGTAGGCTCTAGGGCAGAGGGTGCATAAGCTTGAGGGCTTGAGATAGTGCGGGCATATTCAGGGCTTGAGGGTTCCCAGAACTTTTCTTCGATTTTGTTGGTTGTGCCAGGTCTTCTTCCGACCGGATAACAAGGACACGGCCTTTGTGCAGCTGCGCGGGGAGCCATGCGGCGGGGAGCTGAGTCATTCCGACGGCGGAAAGACCGGGCTCGGAAGGGTTGACATAGGGTGCACGTAGGGTTCTATGGCGCACCGAGATTCTGTCTAGAAGCAGAGCAGAGGGGCCTGCTTTGCGTTGTCTTGGGCTGTGAGTGCGGTTTCTGCGCAACAGAACAGAGAATTGTAAGATTTTTGGGACGTTTAGTTTCCAGGTGGCGTTTGGGGCCAGCCGATCGACGTAGATGCCTCATCTCGCGCAATCTGGGTGGTTTGCGAGAAGGATTACATGACGCTTGGATGTATTCAGTGATTCAATTGTTAAATCTGAACCCTCTTATTGTGAGAAAGTATGGGGGCTTTGGATGCTGTGTTGGCTTAGGGTTTAGGGTTTAGGGTTTAGGGTTTAGGGTTTAGGGTTTAGGGTTTAGGGTTTCCGACACCTCAAGCCCTTTGCCTGCCGTGTGGGGGGTGCAAGATCCTTCGGGTGGACGCTTTGCCCATCCAAGCTCGACTGGCCCCTGTTGATTTGACAACAAAGCTCTACAGACTCTGACATCCCAGTTTGCTTTTACCTAAGGTTTAGGGCTCGCTGTTCGCTGCGTGGGTTTAGTCCAGCTTGCCCAATCGCAAACCGTTACCTAGCCACCGCGCCTAGCCCTTGGCGTCGTAGACACCTGCACCCGGTACCCCAAACCCAAAACCCTAAGCTTGGAGACCAGCCCTAAACCCTATAAACCCCAAGCCCTAAGCCCCATCAGGCCCCAAAACCCCATAAACCCTAAACCCGAACCCCCCCCCCCCCCCCCCCCCCCCCCGAACCCCAAAAAAGAGAAGCCTAAACCTTAAACCCCAAACGCTCAACCCCCCGCAGAAGGGCGACCCAAGTGCAAGGACCTCCAAGGGGGTGCAATGGGAGCACTTCCTCTTCGCGAAGTGGGGATGGTCAACCACCAACAATCACGCCGGCGACTCGGGGGGTTTTTGGGGGTTTGTTTCGAGGTTTATTATTATTATTATTATTATTATTATTATTATTATTATTACTATTATTAGTTTTCTTTTTTTTGGGCGGGGGGAAGGGAGGGTCTTGGGGTTTTGGGTTGGGGTTTTGCTGTAGGGTTTTGGGCTTTAGGGTATAGCTGCTGTAGTGGCTGGCTGTTCCCGGCTAGCGGATCAGAGGCCTGGATGCAAAAAAAAGGGTCTTAGCGTTCAGGATTTAGGATTTCCACGCATTGCCCTCAGTCCGTAGTCTCGGAAACCCCCAACATATGACGTAGTGCCGTGGTTCCGGGAGGAAGGAAGCACCCTCATGGGCGACTCTGGGACCAGAGCGAGTAAGGACGTGCAGACCCCCAGAATTTGGACCCGGCCCCCCCAACATTTTCGTCCGAGCCCAAAAGTGCTCGTAGAAAGTCATTATGTTCGGAACGGCTGTGGGGTTAGTTATCTCCGGGGAAAGACGCCAGGGCTTTCAAGGTTGCGTGTTTGCGTTCAGAGGACAACACGTCCTTTAGGGTTTGGGCATTCAGCTTGGGTTTCGGGGTTTTTGAAAGCTTTGCGAAGGGCCAGAATATTGCAAATTTCTTCGTTTGGGCCACAGACGCCTCAGGTCTGGTGGCACATGATGCGAGGCGGGCCGATGTCGGTGTTTCTCCATTCAGCCAGGTTACGCGCGAAGGTGACGCCCCCAAGCCCACAGGCCAAGAATCCCGAGCCCACTGCTGTCGCCACCCTGAAAGCCTGTGTACGAAGTGACGATCTGCATGCGTCTTAGCTTCGTAGACCCGGAACCCTATAGACCATAAAATGCCCTAAACCCTGCTCAGCCCTGAACCCTGGGCCCTAAACCCCTAAGCCTCGAAACCCAACACGCCCGGAAGGCGGCAATGTTGTGCAGCTGGACGCCGATGACGATGCCATGTGGGGCTTGGACGAGACTGGCAGCATCCTTTGGCGCCCAGCAGGCCAGGGGGCGTTGCGAATTGTGTTTAATTGGGGCTTAGGGCTTGCGGCTTCGGGCTCAGAGAAGGGCTTGCAGGGTTTTTTTTGTTTGCAGGTCCTTAATCCGTAAACCCTCAACCCTAAACCTGAAAACCTAAACCTTAAACCCTCAACCCTGAACCCTAAATTCTGAAAGCCGCTGATTTCGGCTTCTGGGCCTGGCGTTCAGGGGCTCCAGGGTTCGGCCCTCCCGCTAAATTCGTCCTAGAAACTCTTCTAAAGGGGCTTCGGGTTGAGGGCTAGGGTTTAGGACTTCTCGGATACAGAGAGTTCGTCCCAGGCAGGCAGTGCAGCAGTCCTGGCCGTAAAAAGGGCTAGGGTTTAGGGTTTATGGTTTAGGGCTTAAACCCTAAACCCTAAACCCTAAACCCTAAACCCTAAACCCTAAACCCTAGGTTTTGGGTTTTCGGTGGCGAGTGCTCAGGGCTGCTGGCAGAGCTCGCGGGGTCGAAAAAGGGTTTCGGTGGCGCTTTGGTTTCGCGCTCCTTTTTGTTGCTGGCTTAGTAATAGAGTATAGGTCACCTTTAATCTTTTTGAGGAATTCTGATCCCCAAAAAAAGCCCAAAGGTTAACCTCTAATTCCCCCAGGTTACTGGACAACTAAGGCCGTTTCCATGGGATGAGGGTACCAGAACCCCCTGAACCCCCCCAAACTCTAGGACCCAGAGCAGGCCCTTTTCCCCTGTTTTTAGGGTTTAAACCCCCAAAAAAAGAGGACCATTTTTCTTGCTGGGTTACCCTTGGCTCCGGAACTTTAGGGCGTAAGCCAAAACCCAACTCAACTCCAAAGCCTTGACCTAGCCGGAAGCCAAGCGAAAATGTTTCGACGATTGCCCAAGGTGACGTCGGAAAGCACAGTCGTTGGATGAGCCCCGGCGGAGCAGCCAACACCTTTCACTATAAGAATCATTCAACATACCCCAAGCCCATACCACTAAAGCTATACAAAGAGGAAATAAGGAAGGATTTTGCCATACCCGTTAATTTCTTGTGAGGGTATGCCCAGCAGGTATATAACTAGTCTTTGGATTTAGGGTTTGGGGTTTGGGACTCAGGATGCAGGGCTCGGGGGTTCAGCGGGTTGAGGGTTTGGAACTCAGGGTGTATGTATGTGTGTGTGTGTGTGTTTGCAATGATTTGTCCGTAATCATGACAGATGACCATAGAGGTTGCACCGGCGAGATTTGTTTGGGCATTGTGAGATCGAGATCTCAAGAACCCCCTCGAGTTTTTGTTGAAGCTTCTGGACCCTAGCACCCTTGAAGCCCCCCCCCACATGCCCCAACGTCACAAGCCGAGACGCCCCTAAACCTTAAGCCTGTGTGGTCAGCTCCCTCAAGCCCTAAAAGCCTCAACTTCTACTTTTGGTACACACCGTTCTCTTGATAGCACAAAGCCCTATATCCCTAAATCTTACCTTTTGTTGTACACCCCATGTGCAACTCAACACCACAAAAGCCTTAAGCCTAGCCCACATAGCCATTCTGATCAAGGCGCGTCGATGGACCTCCCGACATCTCTTTCAAGCTGATCGCGGCGGACCGCTGGCTTGATCAGGGCACCGCCCTACCCAACGGCTTTGAGTAGGGCTTGTAGGGCTTTTTTGCTGCAAGGCAATAGGGGCCTATGGTTTAGTGTGTAGACCTCGTTCAAAGAAAGGGTGTAAGGTTTCGGGTTTGGGGTTTAGCTGGCAGCAAGGAGTCCAGATGCAAAAAAGGGTTTAGCGTTTAGGGTTAGCGTGTTTGTCTAGGGTTCTTACTGCTGGAAAGTGTTGGGCAGTTTTTGTTTTTGGCTTTAAGGCTTTGAGGGGGGATGACATCTTCAGGACAACAACGACGACGGCACCTGGCTGTGGTGCATCGACAACGAGGACTTATGGGGCTCTTAAGGGAGGGTTTAGGGTTTAGGTTTAGGGGTTTAGGGGTTTAGGGGTTTAGGGGTTTAGGGGTTTAGGGGTTTAGGGGTTTAGGGGTTTAGGGGTTTAGGGGTTTAGGGTTTAGGGGTTTAGGGGTTTAGGGGTTTAGGAGTTTAGGGGTTTAGGGGTTTAGGGGGTCTAGGGGGTCTAGGGGGTCTAGGGGGTCTAGGGGGTCTAGGGGGTCTAGGGGGTCTAGGGGGTCTAGGGGGTCTAGGGGGTCTAGGGGGTCTAGGGGTCTAGGGGTTTAGGGGTTTAGGGGAAAAGGGGGTTTAGGGGTTTAGGGGTTTAGGGGTTTAGGGGTTTAGGGGTTTAGGGGTTTAGGGGTTTAGGGGTTTAGGGGTTTAGGGTTTTGAGGGGTTCAAGGGAGGGTATATAACCTAAGGCTCCCTACAACTCCCTAAGGCTCCCTAGTAAAGGACAGGGTGTGGCGCCGGTCTCCGGGCGACTACCACCTCTCCAACATGCACAGCAAGTGGACCCACAAGGACCCTTCCTGCTCAGGGTTTTCGGGCTGCTCTTGCGCAAAGCCCACGGAAGTAGGAGAACAGCAACATGTCCCCTATGGTCCCTCAACTCTCAGGCCCCAAAGCTAACCTTTAACCCCAAACCCCTGAACCAAGCCCTAAAGCCCCCCTCACCAGTCCACCTCAAGAGCCCCAAGCATACGTTTTTGTTTGGTACGTAGGTCTTGGGTTTCTTACCTCAAAAAATCACCCCTGACCCCCAAACCCTCAACGCTGGAGCTCTGGAGCCCTAAAGCCTAAACCCCTCAAACCCTGAAGCTCTCAAACCTCAAACCCTCAAAACCCCTAATGCCTATGCCCCAGCCTGAGAGTCGAAACTCCAAAGCCCGCCCAAACCCCAAACCCCAAACCTCAAACCCTAAACCCGAAACCCTAAATCCCCCGAACCCTAAATTCCAAACCCCAAACCCTGAACCACCCTAAACCCCCCAAGCCTAACCCCCAAACCACAAACCCCCCCCCCCCCCCCACCCCCCGACCCCAAAAGCCAGGACAACCAGGGCTTGGAGTTTTGGCCCAAGCCCCAGGGCTCCGTCCTGAAGGACCTCAAGGCGAACCAAGGCCGGCCATACGCTTTGTGGGGGGGACGGGGGGGGGGGGAAAGGGTTTAGGGTTTAGGGTTTAGGGTTTGGGGTTTGGGGTTTGGGGTTTGGGGTTTGGGGTTCAGGGTTTGGGGTTTGGGGTTTGGGGTTTAGGGTTTACGGTTTTGGGGTTGAGCTTTTCAGGCCGGCCATAAGGCCGGCCATAATTTGGGTGGCTTAGGGTTTAAGTTGTTTTGTGTGTAGGTGCTTCAGGGTGCTTGTTTTTTGGCGGGCAGGGTTTTGCTGGGTGTAATTAGGTCCGGGTTTGGTGCTTGTGTTCTAGGTACTTCTTAACCTAGGTAGGCCCTTGGGACATGTCATATTTTCCCTTCTTGGTTTTAAGAGGTAATATTTCACAACACATTTCAGAGGGTCTGAAGGGCCATCCTAGCGACACACACAGCTGTTGGGGTTGAAAATGGGCAACCGGGAGAAGTAGGTTTTGGGCTCATGGAGCCTGCAGGCGCCAACAACAAGAACACGGGAAACGGAAAGGTGACGACCCTGAACCCTAAACCCTAAACCCTAAACCCTAAACCCTAAACCCTAAACCTTCTCGGGCTTCATTTTCATGCATTGGCATTGGTTCCAGATTCGGAGCCCTTGAGGCCTGCAGTTAGATTCTCAAGAAGATGGGAGGGCAGCCGAGGATGGCCCTGAGCCATCTTCTAGGCGTGCGCCTCCTGTAGGACACCTAAACCCTAAACCCTAAACCCTAAACCCTAAACCCTAAACCCTAAACCCTAAACCCTAAACGCTTTTGAGTATTCGGGTGCAAGTTGGGTTTGGGCCAGAGACCAGGCTTCGCCATGGGCGTGGATGACAAGGGGAACTTGTTGAAGCGAAGCATCGACGGCAGCTGCTGACTCTTGGCCTTATATAGTAATACTATGTTTTGCAGTATTAGGGTTACCCCCAACCCCACAACCCTGGACCCTAAACCCTGTAAACCCCGAACCATGATCAGGTGACGATGGGGAGAACGTTTCGCCCGTGCACTGCTGGTGCGTGGAGCCATTGGCCCCAAGGTTCCGCGAGGGTTGCTGTTTGGGCCGTTATCTACCTGAATCTATCCACGCATCTGTGGGTTTTACATGTCTATAGTAAAAAGGCACCAAAAGAGCTCCTCTCTAGAACAACCCACACAGCTTTGTTTTGGGACGGGGCGCCACCGCGTGGGTTTAGGGAGCTTGTGAGGGTTTAGGGCTTATGAGGTTTGGGGTTTCGGGCATAGCTTGTCAAGCACTTCTGCGGGCTCTATTGTATGTACATATTGAGTCCTAAGTCGGTTAAGGAGCGAATGCTAAACCCGAGCATCCCAAGACCCTAACATCCCTTCCTGAACGCGGAAGATGCGGCAGGCTCTCAGGATTCATCGGCAGCTTGCTGGGCACCCCAAAACCTGCAACTTTGCATTACTTGTAGCAAGGACACCCCCACAAAGGGAGCTTCATGACCCTAAACCCTAAACCCTGAACCCTAAACCCTAAACCCTAAACCCTAAACCCTAAACCCGAATTCAGAGAGCGGGACCCCTGCGCCTCGACTCGACGGAGGCTCTCCGCCGTCACCGACAACGGAGACCACGGCCTCGGTTTCTACTTCCCCTCGCTGCAACATAAGCCGCCCGACTGGGGGTTTAGGGTTTAGGGTTTAGGGTTTAAAGTTTAGTTCCTTAAACTCTTCCCCTGTGGGGCTTTTCTATTCTTCTAGGGCCCTCGGAGACCCTAAGCCACAAATCCATAAGACAAAGCCCTAAACCTAAGCCCTAAACCCTAAACCCTAAGCCCTAACCCACCCCAGGCAGGAGGTGAGTGGAACCTGGGTCGCCACGGCCAACCGGTGGTTGGAGCTCCTGCCTCTTGTCTTCAGGGTGCAGGGTTCGTGGGGTGTTTTCGGGTTGCTTGGGGTGTTGTTTAGGACGATGAAGGCGAGGAAAAGTTTGTAGTTGTTTTGTTTATCCGGGTTTAGGGTTTGGGCTTGAGGTGTTTGGGGTAGGCACAACTGGAATTTGCAGTCGGCCACTTCGTGCACATTTTTTCGCCTGATTTTGTTCAGCCGCCGCCTCCCCTCAAGCAGTCGCCGCAGTCGCAACGACGAAAAGGCCCAACAGCCCTAAACCCTAAACAAGCCCCAAAAGACCCCAAAACGACGAAGGACCAGCCGAGATGACGGCCACAATGCAGACAGCCCCCACGAAGCTTCGCAGTACTTCTCCTACCACTGCAAGCCCCAGGAGCCCCTCGTGGGTGCTGTTGCTTTAGGTGGCTTGGGGTTTAGGGTGCCAAAATGATGGAGGATTGGGAGGTCCTCCATCCACACCGCAACTGTACTAACACCTCTTAGGCCTTGAGCCCGTGTACCCCGAAACCCCAAACTCTGGTGTCACCTACGGCCTAGAATCTAAGGGTAGTTACACGGACCCTTAATTATGGTCCCTTACCTCCTTTTACATGTCCAGGGACCATGTAACTACTCTAAGATACAAGGGTTGTCGGGTGGCCTTCAGACGGGTGTGTGCCGCGCCTGGCCAGGAAGTTGATCACTGTGCTGGCCTGGACGAGAGCATCACCGACTTCCTGCAGGGCTGGAGCAAGGCAGGGAGACGAGGGTTTAGGGTTTAGGGTTTAGGGTTTAGGGTTTGGGGCCTCAGCTAATACAGCCAGGGGCTCCGATCTGGCTAGTCCTCAAGCCCAGTTGCAAAAGGGCTTAGGGTTTAGGGTTTAGGGTTTGGGGTTTAGGGTTTAGGGTTTAGGGGGCTTAGGGTTTAGAGGGTTTAGGGTTTAGAGGGTTTGGGGTGTCTGCTTGACACGCTTCCTACGAAGTAGGCTCCAAAGGCACTGTGCAGGCCCACGGCCTACTAATGTGAGGACAGGCTTCTCCAAAACTCAATTGCCTGAGGTCATTGTTATGGTGTGGCTGTCAACTCCCTTGTTAATGGGCATTGTGAGGAATCTAGTCCAACCCTCTGGGTACAACCCCTAAACCTCTAAACCTCTAAACCCTAAACCCCTAAAGTCCTAAAGCCCTAAGAGCTCTAAGCCCCCCCCCCAACCTCCCCACCTCCTACCGTGAGGTCAGCCGCAAGCCCTGGAAGACCTGGGACTGGGCCCAGCTGAAGGATGAGTTCGCTGGCCCCCAACTTTTGGGGCTCAACGGGGGGCTTTTGGGGGTGGGCCGGGGCTTCGGACTTGGGGGGTTGTGTGGCAACAAGGAGGGGCTTGTAGGGCTTTTTAAGGGCTTATACGGGCTTACGTGGGCTTGTAGGGGCTAAATGGAGGCTTACAGGAGCTTCAAGGGGCTGACAGGATTGAGAGGGCAGGCTTCGTGTTCACTATTGGGTTTCGGGTCAGAAGGGCGAGCTGGGAGTTGCCCGTACTCAGGTACGGTCACTGCAGCGGCTCCAGCAACGTTTGCCAGAGGCGAGGCTTTAAAGCTTCGAGGGAGCAGATTTGAGGGGTTCATGGTTCACCGAAAGCTCTTGAATCGCGTAAAGCCCCGAAGCATCCCTAAAGCCCCCAAAGCCTCCACCTCCGGCACTCTAAAGCGACGGTCCGTTTCCATGCCCGGCATGCCCCGATTGTTGAAAGAGACGCAGAGGGAGATAACGGGACGGAGAGTGTTAGGGGTTCAGTGTGTTTGGAAGTAGTGGCTTAGGTTTAGGGCTTTAGGGTTGTCAGAGGCTTCGCCGGGGCAATGTGCAGTTTTCCGAAAAAGTTGGGCCCTTTGATTAGGTTTTTTTGTGTTCAGGGTTTAGATTTCGGGTTCAGAAGAGGCCGCTGAAGCACTATGGAGCCTTCCGCGAGCGCTTCATGCAGAACCTCTTTTGCTGCTCCTTGGCCGGGTTTGCTAAGCAAGCAAAATGCCCAAGCAACAGGACAAGCTGCCTCTGATCTGGGGCAGGAGGTATAGTGAGGCTTCCCTGAAAGTCCGAAATCTCCTAAACCCGAAACCTTAAGGGCATGTGAGATAAGGACTTAGTGTTTTTAGGTTGGTATTGGGTTTTGAGGGTTTTCGGCTTGGAGCTTTGGTGCTTGGAGTTGGGGGCTTTAGGGTTTAGGGTTTTGGTTTAGGGATTTCAGGGTTGGAGGGCCCAAGGGGGTGTGCAGGGTGTCCGGAGCTGGACACCACGTGAAGCTTCAATGGTTTTGTAGGATTTAGGGTTCAGGGTTTAGGGGTTTGACGGCCCAAGGGTGTGTACAGTAGGGTGTACCAAAGCTGGACGCCAGGTGAAGCTTCAATGATGATGTGGTCATGCCGCCTAAACCCTCCTTCTTCTCCAAACTTAAACCCGAAACCCTCCTACAAGCGCCATAAACCCCACGGATCCTAAACCCCAAGCCCTAAAACTTCTTCCCCCTCCGAGGCTCCAGGCATCTGCAGACGCCGCGCTTTGGCTCTGCGTTCCATGGTTTTCTTGTGGTTGTAGGTTTGGGGTTTAGGGGGTTTGGGGTTAGCAAGCCACGAACCCCGATTATAAGCTCTAGACCTCCTCCCCCCCTCCACGGAAGCGAGCATGACGGTTCGGGGATGTCGTTTGCGCCCTACACGATGAACTCCCAGCGGTAGAGTTAAGAAAATGTTCACCCCAAGTCCTTAAATCCTAGCCCCTCAGCTCTAAACCCTTGATTTCCTCCTGGTGCACTAGTGACCCTAAACCCTAAACACTAAACCCTAAACCCTAAATCCTAAACCCTAGCATCAGAAACCCTAAACCCTAAACCCTAAGCTACCAGCTTACGTTGGGGAACGCTCCGCGTGCCAAGGGACGACCCAGGGTGCGAGTCGCCCATCTGCAACGCGTATGACATGACCTGCCCTGGCTCCAGGCCATGTTTAGGGGTTTATTGGTTGGGTTTAGGGTTTGGGGTTTAGGGTTTAGGGTCAGGGTTCATGGTCTCGGGTTTGAAGTTTCGGGTTTAGGGTTTAAGGGTTTAAGGGTTTAGGGGTTTAGGGTTAAAGGGTTTAGGGTTTGGGGTCTGGGGTTTAGGCCTCCCGGGCGTTGCCTGCGTGGAGTCCTTGAGCGGTTACGGCCTTTAAGGATTTATAGGGTTTACAGGGTTTATGAGGTTTCTGGGTTTAAAGGGTTTAATTGTTTTTTTTTTAAGGGTGTATTGGCTTTCAGGGATGAAATCTTTTTAGTTATTTATGTCGGGCTTTTATCATGCATATCCAAGAAATATTCAGCATGCCCCTTGGGCATACCCCCGAAAGAAATTCTGGGGCCTCATATGATCCTTTTTTGAGGTTAAGGGGGGTTTGGTTTGGGGTATGTTGGTTTTTTCTACGAGTGTAGGGGCTCGGGGTCGGGTTTTACGATTGTCTGAGGAGCTTAGGGTTTAGGGTTTAGGGTTTAGGGTTTAGGGTTTAGGGTTTAGGGTTTAGGGATTTCAACCCTCAGACTCAGCCTCAGACTTTACATGCCCTTCAGCCCTGAAGCCCCTTATGGCGCCCTGGCAGCCCGAAACCCGAAACCCTAAGCCTAAACTCTGAACCCTAGCCCTAAGGCCCTAGCCCTAAACCCTCAACCCTCAAGCCTAAACCCTAGCCCTAAACCCTAAACCCTCAACCCTAATCCCTAAACTCTAAACCCTAAACCCTAAACCCTAAACCCTAAACCCTAAACCCTAAACCCTAAACCCTATTTTTCGAAGCCTGAACTCCGAAGGCTGCTCACTTCGGACTTGGACTGCACGGTCTACCACTCGCGGGACCCAGGCCCCTCCAGCGGAGATTGTTTTTTTTTCGGCGGGTTGTTTCGTAGAGTTCGGGGTTGAGGGTTCAGGGTTTAGGGTTTAGGGTTTAGGGTTCAGGGTTTAGGGTTTAGGGTTTAGGGTTTAGGGTTTAGGGTTAAGTAGACCAGGTTTCCGAGGTTCATGAGTCGAAGCCAAAAAAGCAAAGCTGAACTCCCAAAGTTCACCCTACGACCCTCTTTGCCTACAGCATTTATGGGTTACACCTACTAAGTAAGGGTAGCTGCTAGACTGTCGGTAGAGAGGTCCCAGGCAGCACTCAAACAGCCCCTAACTACAATGCCCAGTGCCCTTATTCCCTTCTTTGTCGGTCTAGGATTCCTTATGTAATGGACCTAATTCAGCCCCGAAAGCGTCTTCTTTTTCTTCGAGGTTGCTGAGGAGCCTAGCTAAGACAAGCCATCAAGCCGGAACTTCGCATCATGCCCGTTTACGCTTAAGGTAAATCCCCACAGCCAAACGGAAGGAATGCTTGAAGATGCTTTTCTTTATCCTTCCTAGTTAAACCCCCTTTTAAGCCCTACAAACCCCTATAAATCCCATGCGCGCCTAAGTAGGAGGGGAGTCTCGCTTTCAGGCACCTTGATTCAGAACATGAGCCTCCTGGCGGCGGAGCGGCTCAAAGAGCACGTGGACGACGAGGTCCCAGACCTCTCCGTGCTTTTCGACGCCTGGAGGATTCGGGTGTTTGGGGTGGTACTCCGGCCCGAGACCCTAAACCCTCCCTCAGGGTTTAGGAGCAAGAGCTACCCCGGACCTCCAAGTAGGGGTTTTAAGGTGACCCTGAAGCCCGCTACTTCGAAATTCCCCCCAGAAAAGCCCGAGCCTCAAGGCCCTGTACGAAACCCAACAGCCGAAGGGTTGGGTTTCCATCTAGGGAAGCGGGGGGCCAGTTGCCACCCCGGCACCCTCGGAACGGAACGCTGGAGCGGAACGTGACTTGATCATTTCTGTCTTGCTGACAGTCGGGTTGCACAGCTGGGCTACTTAAGCCCTAACCCTCCCCTAAAGCCTTAGGTTCATCAAGCCTTAGGTCAATGGAGCCCTAACCCTCCCCTAAAGCCCTGAACGATGCTCCTGAACTCCCCGCCCCCTGGGCAATCGGCCGCAACCAAGGACGTCTCCCTCTATGGAACCTGGACATGGATTCCAGATGAGGTGAGGGTTCAGGGTTTAGGGCTATAAGGATTTAGGGTTGGGTTTAGGGTTCAGGGCTCAGGGTTTAGGGTTTAGGGTTTAGGGCCACGGTTTAGGGTCTAGGGTTTAGGGTTTGGGGTTTGGGGTTTGGGGTTTTGGGGGTTTGGGGGTTTAGGGGTTTAGGGGTTTAGGGGTTTAGGGGTTTAGGGGTTTAGGGCTTAGGATTCCGCATGAGGTGTGGCACCAGAAAAGCAGCTGGAAGGCCCCTTGAGGAAGTTGAGGGCTTTTAGGGTTCGGGTTGGAAAAGGGGTTTATAGGGTTTAAGGCTTGAGGCTAAAATTGCTCAAATTCTTTTGGTTTTAAGGTTTCGGGTTTAGGGGTAGGGGTTTATAGAATTTCCAGCGCTTCGACCAGGGCTGGATATGGGGCTGGGGGCTTTCAGGGTCTGGATCTGGATCGGAGGTCGGGTTCGAAAGCAGTTGAGGCTTTTCGGTGTCTCACCCAACTGGGCGAGACGCGCCAGAGCATGAGCCCTAAAACCCCAAACCCCAAACCCTAAACCCTAAACCCTAAACCCTAAACCCTAAACCCTAAACCCTAAACCCTAAACCCTAAACCCTAAACCCTAAACCTACTTTCTTGTTTCGAACAACAAGAGACGCAGGTCTTCAGTCGCTTCGATTGGCCGGCCTCGTCCAAGCGCCTCAGCTTATGCGGGTTTGGGTGGATGGGTTACAGGGACATTTGGACTCATGTCAATGTCTGTCTGTGTTTATGTATATGTACATGTATGTGTATATGTATATGCATATATGTATATATTTTTTTGTCTTTGTATATCTTTGTCCATGTCTTCTGACATGTGTATGAACATGGCGTACTTAGGTTTTTGGGGTCCCTAGGCCCCAACAGGGCTTCCAGGCAGGTTCACAGGGCCGCAAAGTTTTTGTTTCATCACCCGGATTCCTGGCGGCCTAGAGTCGGAAGCTAGCAGGTCCCTCTTCGAGCGCGTGGAGGGCAAGGAGGGGGCTGCTGTCTGGGCAACTCGCCCGCGAGATCGGATGGACACCGAAAAGCCGTATCGGGCTTAAGTGTACGAAGACCCTGAAACCCCGAACCCTCAGCTGAGCCCCAAAGCTTCAATTACCTAAGCCCTCTCTGCAACCGAGCCTTGGAGACTCCATCTCTGCACATCAGCACATCGATGTACGACTGGGCTTTCCAAAGCAAATGCCCCAAGATTGAGTCCAAAGGTTCAAGGAAGGGATTGAGGGCTGTACCCTGAATCCCGCACAGGAGACCCTGTAGTCTGTAGTCTATAGACTCTCAAGGGCCCTTGCGGCACCCTACACCCTAAACCCTACGCCAACAAACCCCGGAGGGGTGTGTGTGCGTAAACGCCCAGGTCTTCCGGCGAAAGTGCACCAACTCGGCTCGCGAAGCGATCCTAAACAAGGCTGCATGGAATCCTCAGCCCCTAAACCCGAAGCCCTAAACCCTAAACCCTAAACCCTAAACCCTACACCCTAAACCCTAAACCCTAAACCCTAAATCCTAAACCCTAAACCCTAAACCCTTAACCCTAAACCCTAAACCCTGACCCTCAAGGGCTTTAGTGTAAGGGGTTTAGGGTTTCGGGCATATAGGGTTTTAAGGCGGCTTGCATGTTGCGGCTGAAGTTGTTTAAGGACAATTTCAACCTCTGGCCGTCAAGGCCTCTCGGGATTTGAGAGTTTTAGGGTTTTAGCGTTCCGGGTTTTGGGGGGTTACCGGGGTTTCGGGCGTATGGCATTTTAAAGGGGTTGAAGTTGTTTGACTCGCCACATGCCAAAATGCGTACGATGGTCTACGATAGCGACAATGCGCCCCATTCGGGGGAATGAGCTTGGACGGGGGGGGGGGGGGGGGCGGTTCACGCCAGTGTTTGAGCAGTGGCCGAACCAAACTGCAACAAAAAACTTGGCCTCCAACTGCAACTCGTGATCAACCACGCTGCTCTAACTCTGAACTTCAACTTAACGCCCAGACTAAACCCCTACAAACTCTAATCGCCCTACTCCCTCAGCCCTTCCTAAAGCCACCACGCCCCTTGGCCAGGTGAAAAGGATCATCCACGTGGGCGCAGAGGACTTGCCGGACGTTGTTTGCCCAGTCGATCGACTTTCAGGTTTTCGTAGGGGTTGGGCTGTTACAGGCTTTCTGCACGGGGGCTTGCGATAAGAAATCAGTGACCGGCACTGGGCAATTTTGGCATGCTGTCCATTCGGAAAGACGAGCCGAAGTTTTGAAGCTGCCTGTCAAGGCTGACTTACACGATGGTCACGTGCTGTCATGTTTGCTGCATGACAGAGGTCAGGGTCATCATCAGCATGTGGTGGTTTCCGGCTTTGGGGTACCTTACTGGGGTCCATATTACAGGGCCACTGGCGCTACCAGGGATTTGTTGGTGGTTTGCGGACCCTCGCAGCTGACCATGGCAATGCGCACACACCAACCTAGACAAAAGCAAGTTAAAGGAGATCACAAGCGAAAACCTCGACAAGCTCACCGTGGCATTGCAACGTCACTCGACAAGTGAACGGAGGATTTGGGGTTGAGGGCTTATGATTTAGGGTTTACGGTCATGTGCAAAAGGGTTTACGGTCAAAAGGGTGTAGTAGAAGAAGAGGGCTTTAAGTTTGGGCAGGTCCATCTCCCATTGGCCAGAGATTCCTCAGTATCCGCAGGGCGTCCAAGGCCCCCTTTTGTTTCCACCCAACAGCTGTGCCGATAGAGTACTTCAGTTGCACGGCCCTCAGAATTAGGAAAGTGCCCTTCAGTCTTGCTCTTGCGCGGCCTCAGAATTACGGTCCCCGAAACATATTCCTCCCCACTCTAAACCCTGAAGCCTCATCCCCTGCCCCCCAGCGAGCTGATTGCACCAGCCTGGCCTCACCAAAGCCCTTTGAGACCGTATCTTATATATGTCTTTACAATCAGAACTTAAAAACATATATACATACATATAAGTGCGTATATATATATATATATGGAAACGTGTAGAGACACTTTTTTCTGTATGCACACACGCACACACCTTGCTTGCGGCACCGAGCAAGTAGCCGAGGCTTCGTCGGAAACCTCGCAGAAGGCCAGCTGCATGTTCGCGGTGCGGGTTCCTTCTTTGTTCTGCCTTGGGGTTTAGCATGAAAGGGTTTCGGGTTGGTTTGGGGCTATTTCGAAAAAAACCGTGTGGGGTGTAGGTCAGGCTGCAGTTAGTCCTCAGTTGCCCAAGCTCCGGCTGAAAGTGGACCATTCACAACCCGGATATTCCTCTTGAAGCCTCGGGATCGCAATTCCTTGTAGCAGGTTAGCTGAATTCGGAAGTCCCTAATTCGCACCGATGCCGGTTTTCCTGCCCTCAGCTATTCACCGGTTTTGGCAGATGGCAGCTCAGCATGTTTTACGTAGTTGACATGGCAAACTTCACGCAAGCCGCTCTTCAATCTCAAGAGCTGCCACTCGGGATGAAGGGCTTCTGGGTTTAGAGGCTTAGAGCTTAGGGGGCCCAAAAAGCGCAGGCAAATACGGCTATGGACGGCACATGCGAGAATGGGATCGGCTGTACCAGGAGATGCGGCTACGGGGGTGTCTTAAAGGGTCCGCAAGCCTTCCCCCCAAAACATCCCGAAAGCGGCGCAAGAGCTTTTAAGTTACGACTTCTAGTTCTTGGCTTCTTCCAAGTGCCCCTTTGAAACGCGAGTTCGGGGGGGCCACGTACAGTGCACCTGGGTTGAAAAGGAACCCAGGAACTCAGATGTTAGCCCAAAGCCGCTCAAGGACAAAGACGTTAAAGCCTATCCTCTCCGCGGGTTTAGGGGCTTTTGGGAGGCATCGACGTGAAGGGTCGTCAGACAGTCCTGGTAGCAAGAGAGGTTCAGGGTAAGCCAGAGTCCTAGGCCCCAAACCACCAAGTCTCCCCAGGACTTCCGCGCCGTCTCCAGCGTGCAGCGCGAGGGCTACCTCACCTACGCGGCCACCTTGGAGGTCGCTCCGTAGTGTTCTTATATTTGAACAAAGGGGTGGGCTGAGGGTTTGGGATCTGGTGGTTTTGGGGGTTATGTTCAAGCTTCAGGGCATTTTCCTCTTTGAGGCCTCGGGTGTTTGGGGTCAGTTTGCTCTTTGGTGTGGGGGCATGCGGGGTTGAGGCTGAGAAGTGGTAACCCGAAAGACGAAGCCTCAAGAGAAGCCCGGAACCGCTATGGGGACCTGCATCTTTTCAGGTTGTTGGTCGTCAGCAGGTGGGCCTTCCGACCACCTTTGCAGAGGACGTGGGAAGGTTGATCGAGGGTTTAGGGCATGCGGGTTCCTCATCACACCCGCTCGCACATGCCCGGCGTTTTAGCTCTGGTCCGGACCTGCTCGTAGCGTAACGGTTGTGCATGTGATGCGCTGAAGCGGCGGAGCAACGTGACATGTGGCATGGGCGTAGGCTCGTGCGGCAGGCAGCGCAGGCTGTGGCCCAGCCGCTAGCTGGAGTTGGCTGTGCCCGCTGGCTGTTGCTTCCGGCATCACGGTTCAAACATATTCTCGAGGATGTCGGCGACGTGTGCTTGCTTTATGGCTCACATCCACTCGCTCGCCTTCCGCCAGCGAAGCGGGGAAATGTTCTCCAAGATGTAGTTCGAGGCGTGCTCTCCCAAAGGTTTGGAGAGCAAGCGCAAAGCCCAGAGCCTGAGCTCGACATCAACGGAAGGCTGCGGAGGCGAGGCGCAGAAAGCTACGACTTCGCACTCGGCGGTCGACGGATCGAGTGCAAGAGCGCACAGCTGTACTGGGATCGCAGCGTGATGGCCTGGATGGCGAGATTCCGAAACATCAAGCTGAATCAAGACCTTTTCGATGATTTGTACTTGGCCCTGTATAGCCCAGATAGCCTTCTGATTCTCCAGCACGACCTACGCACGCGAATGTACAGCCAAGGGCGGCTCTCAGAGGAACGCGGCTACGCGATACAGTTGCGAAGTGGCCGAAATCTGGCCTGGAAGGAAGGCTTGGAAGACATCGTCCAGCAGCTGCTCTGTCCTGGAAGCAATTGTCAACTAATTGCAATGCTGAGCGTGCCCGGGCCTGAGGTTGCAGCAGCCTTGGAAAGGGCCGAAGGCGGTGTTGCCCAACATCTAACTAAGCAGGCTTACGAGGGAACACCACTTCAATATGCCAGCCCAACAGTCCGCGGATTGCGAGTCGAAGCTGTCGCCTTTGACATCGACAAGCTGCTCAACCCAGATGCTTCGTTTCTGAGGACTTGCAAGGAGAAGTCAGGCCACAACAGCTTGAAGGGCCTGCATTCTGCAAGTGCAGACTGGCTGAGAGATACCTGCCGGATAGAAGTTAAGCACAGCCGAATGAGTTTCAATCAAACGCACCAGTATTGGAGGTGCATGTTCTCCGACATCAAGTTTGCTTCTGTCAAGACAGGCATGGCTCAATACTTTGATGAACTGTGGCTAGCAGTGTTTAGTCCACGCGGACTACACTTCTTCAAGCATAAGGCCGGCTTTGGCATGCCGGCCGACACTGCCCACGCGCGGTGTGCCGGTGGGCGGATTTACGTTTATGGCCCAAAAAAACAGCCCGATGTGAACTTAGCGTTGGAACGGATACTCGTCAACCTTTGCCGCGGAGGTTGTGAACCGGTTGCGACGGTTCAGTGGTGACCGGAAGCGGTACTTAATATTTATCTGCCGGTCTCCAGCGTTATGCTATCTAGATGGCCAGGCCAAACGCAATGTCGTGTTGTTTGCACGCAGAGCCACAAAACTGCTGCTATCGAGCAAATGAAGCCCGGTGTTGCTTCGCAACTCCCATTCTAAGCATGATGGTAAGTGTCAAGCCTCAACCTCATTTTTCATATTGTGCCTTTCCTTAAGATTGCACTCGGGCATCCGCCTCAGTACAGGTCCCAGAGAAGGGGTTTTTGGGCGCTCGAGCCTAGAATGGGCCCTGCAGGACTACCAGTGCATGCGGCAAGTCAGCTTTCTCGAGCAGCTGGCCTTCATTGCACAGCACATCCAGGCCACCATGGCATGGCTTTGCATCTTGCACAACCAGACTCCAAAAACCCCTTGCGCAGCTGCCACACCGTTTAGGAGCTGAGGGAGTAAACTTCCCACTCCAGACGAACTGCCCAGAGACCACAACCCACCTCTGAACTCCACACAAGGAATCGCAAGCCCCTGCTTCGTAGCCGTAGGCTACAAATCACTCTAGGGCGCAGAAACGGCCGACAGGTGGATGTCCCCGAGGACATCTCCGAAAGCACTTTCAACGACGACATCACGGCAATGCTGTGGGCCGCCAAGGGAAAGTCCTAGCGCAGGGCATAGGGGTCAGTATTGCCCGACAAGCCTGGAACTCCTGCTTCTGGTAGCGCTAGCCGGCTTCACCTTCAAGAGATGGCGTCATTCGTAGCTTTCTTCGGCTAACCTCTCCCCAATCCATGGCAGCAGGCATGCGTGGAGTGCGACTGCACGTTGCATGCTGGTGTTGCATAGCGGAAGCCTAGGTCTGTCCATCCCACTTCGCTTCCCTCACCCAACAGTCTCAAACCCATAAACCCTATACCCGAACCATCACGAGGCCCGGGCTCCCAGGGCCGACTCACACAGTTTGGAAACCATAGCAATTGAAGTATACCAGCATTAATTATAATGATGGAGTAAGGCTCCTGAACAGCAAGCAACCCAGAGAATTCAGGCTGAAGTCGGGGAAGTACTTCGACCGCCTCCTTGAGGCGTAGGGTTTTGGCGGAGAGAGAGAGGGGTTTTTGGCTTGGGGTTCGGGGTCGAGGGCCGTGGCTTCGTGTAGCTACCGCCGTCCGGGTCTCAAAATCTGTAAAATCTAAGCCCCAAACCCTGCATTTGATTGCAAGTCCTGGGACTGGCAGGTTCGGCCACCGGACTCGGCACCCTCGCAAGAGGTTGCAAGGATAGTGTACGGGTTTGGGGTTCAGGTTTGAGTTTAGGGTTTAGGGCAAATTCAATTGATCCCCCTTTCACGCCCCTGTATGCCCGATCAGACCCAGACTAGAAGGCGAGGCAACGAAATTATCGACAAGTCCGTGGAGTTGCGCGGACGTTGTCCGTTTTGGGCTTGCCGAATGGGGCTACACGTAGTAGGCTCCAGGCCCCGATACTCCCACCTGCCCTAGAGCCACAAACCAAACCATATGCAGCCACCAAAGACACAATCCCGAACCTCGAACCATACAAAGCGCCACACCTCCTGCAGGTGGATGGCCCAGGCTACGATGAGGGGCGCACCGCCAGGAGAGCTTGTTTCGGGCATTGGGCGGGGGAACTCGGGATGTGATTGAACACTATAAGCTCAGACTCCACACCCCAAGCAGCCAACTTTTGCACCCCTTTCCCCGGCATGCCCGAAGCAGTTCTAGTCTAGGTGAAGGGCAGAGAGGCTGACTTCAGGCCCCGGTCTTGAGGAATTTTGGGGGCAGCAAAAATCAGAGGTCGGGAGTTGAGAGTTTCGGTCCGTAGGGTTTTGGGTTTTTCGGATTTAATTCGGGTTTCGGAAGCAGGGTTCAAGAAAAGCCCTCGGCTGAGTGCTTCAACCAGGAGTCGGGCCATGAAGACCCATGGGGACAACTCGGTGCTCTGGCGGGTGTTGGAGACCGTGCACGGCTCCAATCACCTGGGGACGGCATCCCGGGCCTAGTTCAGCTTTAGGTCGACAGGTGTACGGCTTGAAAAGCTTGGATTTATAGCTGTGAACTCTCTTTTGGCAGGCGCTGGCTTCCGAAGCCTGTGGCAAAAAGGTAGGTTCATTTTCGATAGGGGCGAGTGTGACACTCACCCCTACTGCACAGAGTGTGTCTTCTGCTCCGCATCACCTACAAGTACAATTGCACAGACAAGTATCCCGATGCCCCAAGCTGTGCACGATGCGCTTTGTATCCTTTTATGTTGGGAGCGGCCAGGTGGTCAACGACATGTGCAGCTGGGATCCCGCTTCCTCTTTGTCCATGCAGCCTGGCAGTACGTGAAGACTACATGGGGTCTTCCGATAAAGAGGATCGTGGGTTCGAAGGTTGTCGGGATCCGGCGAAAAGAGCTTTGAACAGGGCCTGGAGCTCTGAGTAGTGCTTTATCCAAAAAGGAATAAGGGTTACCTTATTGGAGCCAGAAACCAGGTCAACCAGTGCCTTCGACGATTCCGAAGTGCGGAGAAGGCTGGCCATGGATTGCACTGGCTTCCCTTATTGGGTTTAAGAAGATCATATTCAGGAATATTATTCAGGGTTTTAGTGGCCATCCTAGTAAGCCACGAGCAGATCTTATTTCGGAAACTTGCACCGGCAAGGTGCGGGTTCTCACCGTGTTCTCTTTGAACTGCATTCGGCTTTGTCCTCCTGCGTGGGGGTTACTTGACCCCCTACTTCTTAGGGGAAACTTCATCGCAGAAGTAGGCACCCCATATCCCAGGGGCATAGAAGGTTCTGAATCCTTTAGTTTTCTAGTTCCGAGAACTAGTAAGCTCAATGGTGCTTCTCCGAAATTTGGGTTGTATTCTCGCCCTGTAATACAGGGGTCGGAAGAATTACTAATAGTATTCCCTCATGGTCCCTTTATTATGATACTAGAATTACTCCCACCCCCAAAATAGAACTATTCCCCTATGCTACACCCAAAAACAAACCCCATATTAAGCCCTGTCCCGAGAGGTCCTGCATGGACATCGCCACCTGGGGCAATGCCGTGCGGCACATGGACGCGTTCCGTCGCGACACAGGCAGCGATGGGAGGCAAACAGCAACCCTATACTACGCGATAATATAAGGGCCTTAATAATTAGAAGAGGGCTTCGGGCGCGATTATAGTCGATTTCAGTATAGGATCATAAGGGAATACTGTTAATAATTATTCCGACCCCGCAGTGGGTTCAGGGTTTCGGGTTCTTGTCCCCCATGCTGCTGGCATGGTAGAACACAAACACACACACACACACACACACACACACACACACACACACACACACACACACACACACACACACACACACACACACACACACACACACACACACACACACACACACACACACACACACACACACACACACACACACACACACCCCCACACACACACACACACACACACACACACACACACACACACACACACACACACACACACACACACACACACACACACACACACACACACACACACACTCACTCACTCACTCACTCACTCACTCACTCACTCACTCACTCACTCACTCACTCACTCACTCACTCACTCACACACTCACTCACTCACTCACTCACTCACGGCACTCTGACAAGTCCTCACGTCATGGCCGAGCAGGTGGCCGATTAGGATGCCACGGGAACTCGAACAACCCCCAGACGCACAGCGGCACCTATGAGGCAACGCCGCCCCTGGAGAATAGGAAGAGCCATGCAGCCCGACATGAAATCTACGGCATACAGGCCTTCCATCCCACCAAACAGCATGACTCTTGCACGTGTTTGTTATAGCGAACATTATCAAAATCACACGTCACCTACGATCTTGCTCAGTTTGTCGACAAGATCTTGCAGCTCACGTTCATTGCCAGAGCGCGGAGCTGTGCCTCGCTTGATGCGACCACCAGCTTTACCGATGGTGCGGAGCAAGGCATCGAGGATCGGCGACATGTCAGGGCACACCGCAAAGTGGATCTTGTTCATCTTTTTGTCGAAGCAACGCTTGACCTTTGCAATGAGCACCCTGTCAATCAGATCTGACACCGCCGTGACACTGTTGAAGTGCTGCTTCAGCACCTCTGCATCTTCACCAGTCGCCTGCCCATCACTCACGGCAACCTTCACCATCGCTGCCCAACTGTGGTACTGCGGCTCGCCTAAATCCTCCAGCATCTTGTGGTTGCGCTGTTCGCGCGCACCCTTTGCTTTCTCTGTAAAAATGCGCGTAGCCTCCTGAGCCTCGCTGACAAACGGGGAGTCTTTGGAGATCACCACAGTTCGGAACACAGCGGATTGAAGCTCGCGGATTTCAAGAGAATGACGAAGTGAAAGCTGGGAAAGGAGTAGCAGCAATTTCCCCACCATGGCTTTGTCAAGCTCAGGCTTCTCGCTCACTGCCGTCCGGGGCTTCTTCTCTGCACGGCTGTCGCTCGAAGCAAGCCACCCGTCCATGCTAGCAAGAGTCACGAAGCAACTACTGGGGGGGAACTGCGTCCTGAGCTGCAGCTTGGGCTGGAGTAGGCCCAGCAACATGTGTAGTGATGCACTGCAACAAGCCATCCATGGTGTCATGCTCTGCTTGGCAATATGGACACGACATATCATCAACAGGCTGAATCTGATGTACAGTGGTGCACCCTTTACCCTTACATCGTCCATGCTTGAAAGATCTCTGTATGTGCTGCTTGGCACAACGCTTGTCAACAAAGATGCAGCGACACCAGGGGCACACATTGCTGACGGCAGCCTGATATGCCACACTATTTTGACCATGAGTCCCGTTCTTTGTGAAAAACTTGTGGACAGCCAAAGCATGCCGCGACGCGAACTTGGCAGAACAAATGCTCCCGTCATCAAGCTTGCAGTCACAGGCGAACTGCAAGTCAGCCTCGAGCAGGACATCTGGCACTGTAGGGTGGATGGTATCTTGAAATCCCGGTGGTGGGATAGCCACACACAAGAACTGGCGCCGTAACACCGTGCAATCAACTGCCATGAACTGTTCTCGAAGATCAGTGAACATTCGAACGCAGCTACCCGCCAGATCTTGCACCAGACGCACACCGTCGTCCACTTCCCCCAATGCTTGGATGTCCTGCTGAAACTGCACCGCCCAAGGATTGCAGCCATGCGCAAGCCTACCGTGACAATCCAGTGTAGGCAAAGTCTCGAACGAAAACCGTCCAAAGACAGCCGCAAGAAGTTGCACATGTTTATGCGGACATCTCGCCACAGCCTGCCAGAGTTTGAGCCGCCGGACTCGCAGTTCAATGCTTGACGGCACCAACTGCAAGAACCTCCAAACTTTGTGCGACGGTACTGCATGATAAGCGATCTGCCCATCTTCCGACAAGATTTTGGCACAAGCATCACCACGCATGACTTTCCTACCCTTGGAGAGAACAAATCTATCCAGCCTGTCGTACTCGCCTTTGTGGAGCACCCGAGCCTCCAGGCCTGAAACCACATGTGAATACACACTGCTCTTGAATATGGTGACCAACGGCCTTGCGGCCACCTTGGGGCTGGACCACAGTTTCCCATAAGAGCACCATGCACCCTGCGCTGCCCGGACACGAGCAGTGATTTCCGGCCCATTGCCTCCAGCATACTGCGAAATGCCACCCAAATACTTAATGGTCCTGTGCATACCGCCCGCCACCAAAGCTTGAGAATAAGCGGCTCGCATGAAATCGTCTGAGCCTTGTCCACAAAAGAGAACATGATGAACTTGCTTGTCTGCGTTTTGCGCGATGCCGACCTTGGACAGAGCGGCGTCGAACAAGCAGTTGGACAAGCCAGAACGAAAGGCCATATCGTCAGGATTCGAGACCACATGTTTTTTGCAAACATCATCGGCATATGAAGACAAGGAACAGTCAACACGTTCTTGTGACACCGGGTCCACTGAAACAAACTCCTCGCCCACCGCTGTAAGCATGTCAGCGCAGTACTCGTCAATCGCTGGATGATAGGCAAGAAGGAAATGTTCGCAAGCGAACCCATCTCCTTGTAGAATGCCAGTCTGTGGCTGCACATTGATATTGCCATCACACGCTTTGACGCACATGTAAGCTTCGCTGTGCCGCTGCTGAAGAAGAGATGCATCCACTGGCTGCGCAACTCGCTCAACGCAATCGTGTAGGACGCTGCGAAGCGGACTGTAGAAGGCATTGGCAACATCATGCGAGGAGGTGAGAACGGACAAGCCGTGTTTCTTTGCTCGCCACGCAGTAGCGTTCTGCACCAGCATCGCATCCAATCGGCTTTTGTTACAAATGTACCCCGCGGCATAGTGCCGGAGATGCTGTTGTTTGCATCTGCCTCCGAGCCATCCGAAGTAGAGTTTGCCCATAGTGTCCAAGTTGTTGATGGCGCGAACACCAGCGCATTTTGCTTTGCCATTGTGCTTATCCAACTCAATGACCTCGCTCCTTTGCCATTGTACAGGAACTTCGTCGTAACTCCTGATAGAGAGGAGCAGCTGGTGAAAGAGTTTCTGAAAGTGGCCGTTAGGCAACGAGCATCTGTCAGCGTAGCCAATTCCGAACCTGACTTGAGAAAATTTCCAGGTTGGAAAAAGAACTTGTCGCCAAACCTCTGCTGGCATGCCCCAGGAAGGATACCCCTTTCGAAGCTGCAATCGACGACCCCGCTGGCAAATTCCGTGAAAATCGTGCCACGCAAGATCTTTGGCTGCATCAAGTGCACGCACCAGGGTCCTGGGCTGGCATGCTTTTTGAAAAACGTCCTCCCAATCAATGGACTTGGCCTGGCAACCACCATCAGGCCCGTCTTGTTGCAGATACGACAACCAGTCCGAACATGTTGGCTGCACAGATTTTGGCCTGTCAAACCTGCGTCGCTTAGGTCCAAGTCTGAAGCCCGAGAGAAGTCGGCTGACACGGTAGCATCCCTTGAAATCCCGCTTGTGCCAAAAATAGTTGAGTTCGGCAACGCGCGCCTGCCTCCATGATTCACGATCACGCTTGACAAGCACATCTGAAGCCCGACGTGCCCTCCAGAAGGCTGCCAATCGCTTCCACTGTTGGAGAAGGTTGGCCAAAAACTGCAGTGAGTCACGACTAGCAGCAGGAAGCACAGTCTGAACAAGGCATGTCTTGGCTGCCTGGGTATGGAACAGCGCCTCCCGCGTATCAGCAGGTCGATCACACTTAGTTTTTGCACCACCAGAGTAATGCAGTTTGGTTGCCTGCGCCAATGCATCATGCAAGGCCTGAAAAACAACAGTGGGTCGCTGTAGCACAGGAAGCTCAAGCTTCTGCAACGCCTGC